TCTCGTGCACTTCAGGTTCCAGTTCGAAAGAGATCCTGCGATCATCAGAAGACTTCTTTGCGCTGGCTATCCTCGGCGAGGTATAATCCATAGAATCTTCATTGTCGCTATCAAAGAAGGAGTCAATGGTAATGGGAGTTGCTTTCTTCTTTGGAGTCTTCTTGCTGGTCTTCTCCGATGATGCTGAAGGCGATTGGTCCGCATGTAGGAATTTACATTTGCTCCCAAACGTGCAGGTACCCTTCTGCCAATTCCAACATACCTTCTTTTTGGGTCCAGCTGAAGATGAACTTCCTTTACTCTTTCCCCTTGGTGAATCTCGACTTCCATTTCTGCCTTTCTTACCTTTCATCTTGGCATCATAGACCTTCTGAGAATGACTGTAAAGACATTTGTCACCTTTGTTGCATCCTCCTTTATTGAAGAAGTAGTTGCAGAAAATCTTCTTCTTATCAACGGGTGAAGATGATCTTCCCTTCCCACCTTTCCCTTTCTTGTTGTTCTTGTCGGCATGAGATTTCGGAGAAGGTGTTGGAAGTACTGATGCAGCTTCACTCTTCGCCTTGGCTTTAGGTCGTTTGGGAGGATCACCTGTAGACGATGCAGCTGCTTCGTTCTCCTTCTTGGTCTTAATGGGAGCAGCAGGTTTGTCAGCATCTTCCAGGGCAGGTGTTGTCTTGTTAGGGGACAATGACAGTTTCACTGCACGTTCTCTATCTTTCAACAGTCGTTCTTGTTTTCCCCGTGCTATGTATCCTTTGATCATACCGGTCAGGAATTCATAGGTCTTTTCAGGATGCCCTTCATCATAGGTACGGTATCGGCTGATATCGAAAGACATAAGCTTTGAATGTTCAATCTTCCGGAACAATGTATCACGCAGGGAATTTGCAGAAGGCAGATCATCATGTTTCATGTTGTATATGATGTCAAGCCATTTGTTGTAGAAGGCCTCAAGTTGGTCATCTCCATAGTAATTGAACATGTACAAATGATGGGCGTTATAGAGAACCTCAGTGTGGTCAGGCGACTTGAAGCTAATCAATACCATTGCGAATAGTTCTCGCCCTTTGATGAAGTCCCCACTCCTCCCATACATTTGGTTCTTCATAGACATGTCATATTTCACTTGCATGGACTTGTCCCCAGCATTGTCAATGACTTTCCTCAAGGCATTGGAGAGCTTGGCATCAATGGATTGGAATCTTACATCGGGTGCTTTGGCCAGAGCTTCTAAGTCAGGTTGATCTGCAAGACACGGAGCTAGCCACGCTTTCCAATCTTCATAGTTTCGATCTCCACTTGCAACACAAACTTCATGAACGACACTTCCCTTCCAGGATGAAAGTTCAGTGGTCTTAGGCCAGGGTTGGAGGCTGATCTTTTCGGCTTCTCTTAGAGATACGGATGACTTGGATCTATCCTTCTCAAGGTTCTCCAACTCCTTGACATTTGTGTTGTACTCGTTCCTGAGCTTTTCGAAGGCTTCAGCTTCTGCTCGGTATTCCTGCTCTTCATCATTGGCACGATCTTCAGCTTGAGAGAAATTATTCTTGTAATAATCTTTCCGATCTTCCATCTTCTTCAACTCATCTTGAAGATTTCGAACTTCAACGTTCTTCTCTTGCTTAATCTCGTCCAACTCTGCTTTCAGTTTGGCACATTTCTCTTCACATCCATTCCGAGGCATGCACTACTGGGGTACCCATGTAATGTAGTCGGTCTATTCAATGATGAAGAAGAATGAGCCTGGTTTTCCAACTTCAGGGCAGCAATGGTGCTTGACATCTCTTCTACCTCAGCAAAACGCTCATTAGCCAATTGATGCATCTCGGTCAAGTGGCTTTCAGGAATGGAATAGTCGGTCGCACCTTTGATCACGAGTCTTCTGTCGTTCAACATCTTGATGGACTTACCTGCATCCCTGTGAGCACGCTCAAGAGAGTCCTTTTGAGCTTCAAGTTCAGTATGAAGGCGAGCAATGGCTGTATCCCTGTCGTTGATTTCATGTGCAAATTGTCGAACAAGTTACTCGTCACATTCGGATTGCTACTCATGTGATCGATCTTGTTCAGAGCATCTTGATACTTCTTACCAGTTTCATCAAAATGTTGTTGAAAGGTTTTGAGCAGGTTCTCAGTGTCAATGAGTTCAGTTCTGTTTTGCAAGTACAACTTGTCAACTTCGGCCTTGGATTCCTTCAAGCTGTCACGCTCACGCACGGCCTGCATATACATCTCGTATAGTGGTCCTCCATGCGGTGATCTGCTTGGCGAGGATCTTCTGGCTTGCTGACAGGAAAGTTCATGGTACTGATTCTTCGATTCAGTCAGTTGTTGTTGCATTCGATCTAAAAGACTTTGTTTCATGTGTAGTTCAGAACGTAGTCCCATTATCCTCATGTCCCGCATGCCACCTTGATTCAGCTAGAGATTCTTCAGAAACCTTGTTCTCAGAAATCGCTAGTCGAGATTGTAAGCTCTCATTGTGAATCACCTGCAATCGAAGTTGTGATTCTTCCAAAGCTAAGTGATGTTCACATTCTGCATAGCGGTCATGTTCAGATCTTATGTTACTACGGAACTCCTTCATGATCTCGTCCCTCTTCATGTCAGCAGCATCGAGCTCAGTTTCCAGTCGTCTAACGTTCATGGACATGGTGTGCTTCATTGTCTGGTTTTGATTGGCAACCTCGAGCATCTCGATCTGTAAAGCACATGTTTGATCATTGGCGTAGCCGACCGCTAGAGCTTCTTGCTTGGCATTCATCTCTGCGTTTTCCAGTTCCAGTCTGAGTTGATTGATGTGAGCATTCGCATCAGCGCCCACATGTACCATAATTGCGTTCGCTTGTCCCATTTGTTCATCGAATTCCGAACGTAGTCGTGAATATTTGAATTCCAAATGAGATGCAGCTTCATTCGACATAGTCTGATACCTTTCCAACTCTTCGATCCTGTAGGTCGCACCTTCATCTTCTTGTTGTGCAGCCTGTAACTCGAAGTTCAGCATCTGGAGTTGTTCGGTCATCGACATCATCTCTTGATGAGTGGTGCTTTCCAGGAAATTAAATTGTTGATAGGCGTATGCTGTCGTCTCAGTTAATCTTGCCTGAAGTACGGATTCTTCTTCAGTAGCCTTTTCCAGTGATGCTTTGTATTCAGCTAACTCGCTCTGATAGGCAGTGAAGATGTCGCTACCACTTGATGGGGCGTTCACTTGCTGATAAGATCCTGTCCCTGATGGAGTAGCGTCCTGAATCGGTGAAGGCGGATTCGACGACGCAGTCTTTGCCTTAGTCCTTGGAGTCATCGGAGGCGACAATTGTCGTGCAGATGATCTTCTCTTTCCAGGTGTGCTGTCCCTATCTTCAATTGCTTGCATTGTCGGAATTTGTCTCCCTCTAGGAGCAACCAGAGGTCGCCTGGGTAGGCTTGTTCTCAGTTCTGAGGCATCGCTTCCACCAGTGTCGATACTCTGTGAAGAATTTGACTGCGTGCCGGCAGCTGGTGCAACGGCATGTCCAGAGAAAGAAAATGCATTATCGCTGCTATCCTGTTCAGTCATCTGTAAGGCCCGCGGCTACCCGCTCGTAGGCTCCGTAGGAGTCCTACGGCTGATAACCTGTGAATCGGAGGTTATCTCCCCGATTATGTACTGATGTTTGGTCTTGAAGTAGTTGTCTTCAGTGATGACGGCACACGAGTCGCGGCTTCAGCATAGCGATACTTTCTTCCGGTGCTGCAGTGGTCTTGAGCCAGAAGGGGCAAGTTGACGCACCCCTTGGCGTTGGATCCTTGAGGGCTGCATTATGTGTGAGTGTACAGTGTTCCGTAGCCTACACTCTATTCGCACAAAACATGTAATTGAAAATCATATAATTATAGATGTATATATATATATATATTCTATAAATTTGTATGTGTATATATATATGCGTATATAGATAAATATGTATACGTGTGTATATATATATGATTGTATATATATATATGATTGTATATATATATATGATTATATATATATATATATATGTGATTGTATATATATATATATATCGTATATATATATATAATGTATATATTATATGTATACACTGTGCATGTAAATTTATGTTACACACACACTCTCTCTCTCTCCAAAATAGTGATCCATCTTCTCGGGACATGTTGAGTGTTGAAACATCCAACGGTCGTTGGCATGTTTCTTGAGCTCAAGCTATGCATTCATGGAAGTGGAACTTTGAGCCTGGCAGCTGTGAAACAAATAAAGGGGGGCAGTATCATGGGAGAGTCATCAACCGTTTACAAAAGCCCTGAACCATCCAAAACACATACTTTCATGATTCCATGAGATCTTTGAATCATACTTTTTCTCATCCCTTTTGGTGACCACATCACCTTGATCAACTTCTGCCCACCCCTTCATCGAGATTTCAACATATTCTTGCTATGTTTATGGAATCAAACCCGTGCACAGTACCTGTAGTTCACATCAATATTAAATTGCTGCTGATGTATCTCATATTCTATCCGGTGATATCCTTTTCAATATCACCATATGATGAATCTTGTACCTACTACATGCCCTTTATTTCGTTTATATCCCCGGGTTCATTGGTTCAGGTTTGGCCCATTGCAGTATACCCCAAGTAAATGCCAATAAATGATGCGAAACATGCCTTATAAAAACCATCCATATACAAACATTGATCTCATCAGTTTTGACTGGTCATATATCCCACACTCCATCCCACTACATCAACTAATCAACTATTAATTTCTGATATCCCGATATCCCACAAAATTCTCGCTGTATAACAATTCACTAACTTCAAAATAGCTGAGATAAGGCCATTTGGCGACGTTCACCTTCCAGTGATTACAATTCATCCAAATACTATATATACAATCCAGTTAAATCCCATTAAATCTCATTGAACCCTATGACGTCCCATAAAATCCTAAAAAAAGATCCCATCATCCTTCCATAGTTCCCGCCTCCCCTGCCACCAGTGCCCGTTGCCAACGGCTCGCCGCCAGCGCGTTCCATGTGAGGCGCGTGGGGCGCAAGCCGCGGTTCGAGGCGAAGAGATGGAAGGCATGGGGCCAGGAGAGCTCACTGAGGTGGCTGTTCAAGACCTTGGAATGGCGTTCCTGGGAATCCCGGTGAATATATTAGCCATGGGGAGCCACTTGGTGCTATAAAGTTTCCCAACCATATGATCGATTATGGCGTTGACATATGCAAATACATGGGTAAATGATTCGGTAAATGCTTCGATCAGAGAATCATAGAGAATCAGTTGAATACATGGGTCATTTCTCAGGAAACCACTTTTCGGTTTTTCTATCTCAAAGATCTCAATCTCGCGAGGTTACAGTTAGACTACCAGAGGCTATACCTTGCTCATACAGCCGCCCTGGGTTGTCGGATGTTTTCGAGAAAGTTCACCCTTTAATGGAACATGACACTTTTTAGACCTCATGTTCGATCATGACCTTGAAATCCTTTGGAGTCAAATCACATAAAATCACCATGACATCACCAAAAAATATCAGAAAAACACATAAAGTCAGCATCAAATCATCATCAAATCACCATGCAATCACCATCAAATCACATAGATGTGATATCATGGCTGGGTATCCCTTTTGGGCCCGCACCACGATGTCTTGTTGAAGGCTTTCGGCTTGGCAGTGCCTCAGGAACGCCATAGAAGATGTCCAGCTATGCCTCGGTGAAGCAACAGTTTGAGACACATTCTGAGGTGGTTTCAAGATGTGTGGTTTAAATGTGGTTTCAGGTAGTTTTATTTGGTTTTATGTGTTTTTTTATGCTATGTGGTTTTATGATGTTTTATGTTGTTTTATGTTGTTTTATGTTGTTTTATGTTGTTTTATGATGTTTTTATGTGGTTTTATGTGGTTTTTATGTTGTTTTATGTAGTTTCATCTGCAGGTTTCAAAAGGCACTGTAATGTTGAGCAAAAAACACAGAGTTAGTCAACATTGGTCCCTGTGGTACGCAGAGATGCACACAGTGTCTCCATTGCTTAATTTTGTTCCAGGGGGTGCTAGGATCATTCCTCCCCTTCAACTCTTTAGTTTCTGCCCACGATCAATGATCTGGGATGTTCTTAACAAACAATAACAAAAAACACATTTCCCACTTGATATCCCAGTAGTATACCAATATATTAATGGTATTATACCATAACATGGGGTCAATTCATCCCCCCACATCGTCGATCGCCGATCGCCGGCACTTGCTCGTAGCACTTCCAACGCTGCTTTGGCTGATGACCTCGGCGAGGGCAGCCGAGTTCACCAGTTGAAACGACAGACCATCAACCAACATAAAGATGGGACATATATTTGGGAACACCAACGCTAATTTATATATATATATATATATATATGTATGTGTGTATGTATGTATATATATATGTATGTATGTATATATATATATATGTATATATGTATGTATGTATGTATGTATGTATGTGTATATATGTATGTATGTATATGTATATATGTATGTATGTATGTATGTATGTATGTATGTATGTATGTATATATATATATATGTATGTATGTATTTATGTATGTATGTATGTATATGTATGTATATGTATGTCTATGTATGTATGTGTATATATGTATATGTATGTATGTATGTAAATATATATGTATATATGTATGTATGTATGTATGTATGTATGTATGTATGTATGTATGTATGTATGTATGTGTGTATGTATGTATGTTTGTTTGTTTGTATGTATGTAAATATATATATGTATGTATGTATGTATGTATGTATGTATGTATATATGTCTGTATGTAAATATATATATATATATGTATGTATGTATGTATATATGTATGTATGTATATATGTATGTATGTATGTATGTATGTATGTATGTATGTATGTATGTATGTATGTATGTATGTATATATGTATATATGTATATATGTATATATATATGTATGTATATGTATGTATATGTATGTATATGTATGTATGTATGTATGTAAATATATATATATATATATATATATATATATATGTATGTATGTATGTATTTATGTATGTATGTATGTGTATGTCTATGTATGTATGTGTATATATATATGTATGTATGTATGTAAATATATATGTATATATGTATGTATGTATGTATGTATGTAAAAATATGTGTATATATATATATATGTATGTATGTATGTATGTATGTATGTATGTATGTATGTATGTATGTATGTATGTATGTATGTATGTATATAAGACCCGCAGGAGTCGGGCCCATAGTGCCCAACAAGTGGGGTTGTAGCCATTTGCAACCAACCTACCCGCAGCTTGTTAAAGACAAGGGGAGCCAGAAAGCTGATTGGCTTCTTGACCGAGTTTGGGAGTTCAACATATTGCAACACCATAGTGAAATTACATGGGATTCATTGGGTATGGTCATCCCTACAACCACAAATAACAGGAATCCTTAGTGGGTCTATCATTGGATTGGTTCAAGGGAAAATCTACTACGGAAACCATGGTTTTTACCATTCAATTTTGGGGTTTCCTGTAAATTTCCCCGTAAACCAATCCCATGGGTCTATAAATCCCATTCAATCCCTATGAACAAATGACTATCCGAGAGGAAGTGTTCAATCGGAGCGTGAAGCCGTTCCCTGTTCAACGAAACATATCCATATAGCTGCCGGCCAAAATTCTGGAGAAATACGAAAGTCTGGGCAACCCAATAATAAACCTACCAATTGTTTGTTTTTTGATGTTATATACTATCCATTTGTGGTGATCTAGGGCATGGTTTATTATTGGGTTTACCACGTTGCTCATCATAGCCACCCCACTGGATGACAAGTTACATCCATCAGCAAAGAAGACCTGTCCAAAGTGCCCACCAGAAGCAAAGCTGCCTCAACAGCTTCTCAAAGTTTTCAGGACTCTCTATCATTCCATGAAATACCGGCTGACCAACAGCCGGATTCCCCTGTAATTTATGATGTGCTTGGGAAACTCTGTAGCTCCAACTGGCCATTTCATAGGGAATTTTTTTGGCCACCCAATAGCTCCGAACTGCTCCCTCCACCTGGATACTCCCAGTTCATGGCTTATGGTCATCCCCACATATTATTGCGTAGTGGCGTAGTACTTCGTACAATTCCCAAACTAAGCAAGCCACTGCCATCGCTACAAACCACGGGAAACCATGGCTTTTGTTCCACCAAATATATAGATAGTACGTATAGATGTTGGACAGAATATGTGGGAGAAAAGCCAGGAAATCCCCGAAATCCACTGGTTGATCGTCATGTTCTCTCTTTAAAAACGATGCAATTTGCGTGCTATACCCGTCAATGCAATCCATATAGCAGATGTTTCCAGTATTCTTTCCCTTTGAACACGTGCCGTGCCGAGTTGCTTGCCACTGTTGCTGCCAACTGCAGGCTCCCAGGACACCGTTCAGGGTCACAAGGTTCGAATCCACTGTAGCGTCCAAATTGAACCTCCAAATGAAGCGCATGTTGGGAGCGGGTATGAGGGTTATCTAATTTGACAAACCCAATGGTTTGGACACATCTGTCTATGCAAATATATATATATATACACATATATGTATATATATGTATATATATATGTAAATATATATATATGTGTATATATGTATATATATATATTCACATGTGTATATATATATATATATTCACCTGTGTATATATATATATATACACGTGTACATAGATATGCATATTGTTTTTTATTTTTCTGACTGCTCCCTCCGCATGAATCATGTGTATATATATATATATATGCACATGTATTCACGTGTTTAACTTATTGATCTATGTATTGTGGCCCCATTGGTTTTTGTATAGCTGACACCTAGTTTTGGAGTTTAACCTTCCATGTTTCAGTGTAACATGCCCCGTTTCCAAGATAAGCCTCGCGATTTGATACACCACCCAGAACCACAACCGCTGTTTTTGGGATAAGGTCCAGAATTGGGTAAATGCAGTATATATGGTTTTTATATGGATACAGGATACATAAATATATAGTCTTTACATGTGGATATATATATATATACAAGTATATGTATGTGTATGTATGTATATGTGTTATATGTGTATGTATGCATGTAAGTATGTATACATATATATATATGGCTTTGGGTTCATCACCTGAGTTATTTGTTATTATCGAAGGGGTTCAACTCAATCTCTACCAGCCTCTCTGCATGTTGAGTAGAACATTTTGACACACACACATGCATCTGAATCTCTTCTCATATTGGGTGAACCGTATACACATGTATATCACCTTGGGTGGAGAAGAGCAACTCAGAACATTGGTTAATTTTATTAGTTTGATTAATTTGTTGATTTGGGTTACAACTTGTTTAAATTGATTATCATTTCCAAAATTGTCCAACATTTTCCAAATTTAATACATGCAAATGCATATTCACAAACGCATTGCCATTTGCGCAACAATAAAGCAAAACTGATCAAAGACCCCTTGTTTATCAAGTTTATCAGTTTGTTTGTGAAAGAGAACTGCACATGTAATAGAGGATGGATAGAACAAGTATTGCCTTCAAAAAGAACACAGTTGGTTCTTTTAGAGTGGCATGCTAGTTGATTTTTCACTAGAAATCAAAACCGGCAACCACAACTTATTACAAAACACATTAATTTCCACAAGTTGCCCATTTGTGACCAACATTAGTTTCCTGCATTTTTTCCTGTATGTTGTTTCTTGATGCAGAAACACCTGTGAATTTGAGTCTGTCAACACTGGCTGCGATGTTATCACAAGTTCAAAGTCCCCTGGGTGTTTCCGGGACCTGGAGTGAAGATTTCTGGAGAATGGCATGGTATGGCCCGGCTCGTTCCCGGGGTTCCCAGCCTCAGCATTTCTAAAGCTTGGCACCACGAGGCATGGCCTGAGCGATGTCACCAGGTCATGTAGAATGTGCTTTCTGGCTGGTGCTTTTCCATCCCACAAATATAGTATAGAAATACTGTACATAGAAATACTGAAATACTAGTAATCTCAATCATTCATCCCAAGTATGGTCGAAAAACAACCCATATTTGAAACCAGCCAACTTTCTCACACATGCCAACAATTGGCAGGACATTGGATGTTTCAGAAAAATTGAGCATTTCAGACATGTGTGCAGTCAAGCCATCCACATCTGACAGAGCGTCGGTGCGAGAGGTAGCTGGCTGCATCCCTCCTCAAGCCATGCTGGAGAAGTAGGGATAGGCCTCGTTGCCAAACACCGGCTTTCACCTGGCCGCTTTCGGGGGCGAACCGACTGGAGGAACCAGACCATATGGGCCCAAGGAACAAAAACCAACCTTTTTTGTAACCTGAAAAAGCCAGTGAATTGTAGTCACTGAACCCACCTCTGCAGCTGGGGATAAGTCAACTGGATTCTGAGGGACCCACAAAAATGCGCATCTTTGGAACTTCCAGCATGCCCATCTACCCATCTGTATCTACAAACACTCAACAACCTTATGAAGATCTGCAGCAAACCCAAAGCACAGTACAGCATCATTTCTTTCAAAGGATCAAATGGGGGGCGCTTGATCACCTGGGCTTTGAAGTTTTCATTTGGTAAACCAAACCGTCTAACCTTCAGTGGCAAAACGATGGGTCAACAGTGTCAACAGCAGCTAAGATGTTCAGCTGAGCTGCGCAAGCGCTGCTGCCCATGTTCTGCGTCAACATCTGAAGCTGCAAACCCTCGTCGATCAAATGCCTGCTGAGGGTCAGCTTGGGCACCCTGGCACCCTGCTGTGGATTACCTAGATCAAGTTCAACTCCCCTGCCAGGTTTGAGGAAAAATCCAGGGTGCAATGATAAGAACCACGGCCCCTGTTCAGTATTCCCAGAAGCTTCCTACACCATTGCCGTCAGAAACCGCATGGGCAGCATATGCGAAACATATTGGGAATGGCTGTCATTGGCGCTGCATTGAAACGCATTAGATCCAATGCGCCAAGTTGTAAAGAGGTAAACCACCCACAAATGGGGAGAATCCCTGCAAGATGGGGCCATCTACTTGGCTAGGTTGGTTAAATGTGTATGTAGGTTAACTAGGGCTTATTGTAGATAAATAAAAACAAACAAACAAATAAATAAATAAATATATATGTATAATAAATCGAACTAGTAGGCTGCTAGCAGCCGGGTTTTCAATCACCTTCGCTGGTCCCTGTGATCATCTCCGGGCCATGGATGCCATGGGTTCAGCTCCTGATCCTATCGATGGATGCTCTCCAGCTCCTGCCGTCTTTCAGGCTGGCGTTGTAGCTGATGATGTTTGCCTTGCCACAATCTCCCGGCGGAAAGGTTTCATCCAATAGGTCTGGTTATGGCATGACTGATATACATGATACCGGGTTCTTCACAAAAAACAGCCATCCTGTCACAGTCATTGCGAAACTTGCATGCCCCCTTTCCCCCAATTCAATGTTGTTACGGCGCTTTGCTTGGATAGGCCTTCAAAAAACAGCCGTTTCGGTTCGGATGCCGGCATGCATTGGGCAACAACATTGATCAAGGGGGCGCCGGGGGATCAGGTGTGATTCGACAACATGTAGGAGGTTGGCTGTTTTTTCGAAGAACCCGGTATGTTCACATATATTATGAATATATATAAATATAAATATGATATAAATATATATATATATGATATAATATATATATATATATACTATAGCTTACTGACACATGACATGTTGACTGTAATGATCGATTATGGTTGACCAATATATATAGTCTGTTGAATTAACAAACCATGACTATAATGGTTGACTATCAGGTTAACAGTGTTTGCTATACTGGCTATATGCATAGTGATCTGAATTAATTGATTTGTTACCCTCACCCCAATCATGATAATGTTCAAATCACTTGGGGGATTGGCCAACACTGGCGGCATCAATGGGCCCCTGGAATGAATCATGATCAGTATTAAACTATCAGGGTCAGTGACGCATACCTATATAATGAATAACCAAATGCGACCAACAAGATCAGGTTGGGAAGACGGTTCAAATTGCAACAAAATGAGAAAACTGTCGGACTTAGACACGGCATCCAGCACTAGCATTGAACAGGGGAATTCGGAATGTTCCGATTCCAATTTCCAACCAACCAGCCCAGGGACTCCATGCGAAACGCTTGATTCATCCTAACATTTCTACCCATTCAACAATTCAAAATCATGGAATGATGTTGAGTCATGGTTCGGAATAAAACCACGTTCTCTTCATAATCCAAACATTTCCTCACCATTAATGACTGATCAACCCACATTCAACGGCCTCAATTTGCAGCTCAGCCATCTCCTGGCACCGATGCAGGCTGCGAGTGTTGAAACGCAACTTGATGTCCTTGGGAAAACGATGAATGAACATGCCTATCTGGCATATCATTTGATATTCTTTTTAATGATCACATATATAATATATATTGTATATACACATGTATAAAGATATATTCGCATTATATATATATATACAGTATATATATATATATGTACATAGACATTACTAAGAAAAAAAAAATAATCATCAGTTCTCTACTGTCTTCAAAGCGATGCTGATCCTCGATTGGAACATTGAAGGTTCCAGGACTCCTAGTCATGCATAGCTGAGACCCTGCAGAGTCCCGACTAGGGGAAACTCCAAAGTGATTTGGGGACATGTGTTTTGGACCTGCAACAGTTGGCCAATATAGGTGCTACAACTGTTGCATACTGTTGCCCTGTCAACACTACAGCACAACTGTTACCCCTACCGTGATGGACCCCCTTGTTGTGTTTCACATCTCGGTGGCTAATATCCCCAGTTGGTGATGCTCATTTGCATACAAGTCAATATCCCCAAATATCCCCAAATCATCTGTGTCAAACAAGTTTGTTGTTGATCAAAATTGTAGCTGCTCGCATTTGGGTTTCTATGTCCCCCACCGATCTCACAAAAAGAATCTTCAGGCACCGCTGGCTGCCAATCCTACCGATTCATGCGGTACGTGAACCATCCCCAGTTCTCTAATACAGTAAGCCTTTCATACCAGTTGATCCAAATAGAATAGCTATGAAATTATGTTCATTATTTGCATCAACTGGTACAAATCAACTGGTATAAAACAACTGGTATATACAATTTTTTATTTGGCACATATATACACAACATGAATCAATTGCATATGTTCCAATAAAAGAATGGCTCACCATTCGCATTCCCTACGCAGATGCCTGAAAAAAACCTACTCCCAATACAACGGAACATTTTTGCACAATTATACTGCACATGTGTATAGAAATATAATATATTAGCCCCTAAACAAATCGAAAGTTCATTTACCTTATACATCCTTAGACGATATATTCGGGGTTACCTTTTTGGGGACATTATACCCCTCAAGGAATTGAGGGACCCTCATTCTTCAGTTGTCAATGTTGGCACTTTGGAGCCGGAGTGGCACTTTTCGGGGCTATAGATCTCCTTCACACTGTGGCTCGGAAGGAGAAGCCCGAGATTGGCAATAATAGCATGTATGACATTTCCATATAGATCCTTTATTTCAGGATATACCACCCCCCAAGAAAGATGCAAAAGTGTTTCCAGGATGGTAAATAAATATATATATATATATATATGATGTTTTCCACATGTTTCCGACGTTTCCAACTGTTCTATCTATTTGGGGGTTGCTAGGTGCTTTATACACACACATGCTCACACACACATGTATATATATATATATATAATACTATATGTCTCTCTCTCTCTCTCTCTCTGTCTATATATATATATTATATATATATATTTCCCATATCATCACTATAGGATTAGCCTTGGAAGGGCATCAGCACCACTGTCGGCTCCTGAAAGAGGCGCCAAGCCCAGGTCCAGGCTCCACAGGCTCCGCAGGCCGTGATGCCAGCATTAAAGGTCACCACCCCCTGGGAGCGTTGGTTGAAACCCGTCTGGTAACTTGGGGATCTTGAATGTTAGGGGAATGGTATGTTTGGTGACTTTGGGATGGATCTTGAAATGAAAACATTTTTTTGGAAACCACCTATTTCTTTTGGACGTGTAAGATGTCATGATACTGGGAGATCTTGAACGGGGAATGACAAAGGCCAAGTGGCTCATGGCATGCGCCCATCCGCCATTCTGGCGATCGCAACGGCGTTGCTGGAGTTTCAAGCACTAGAACTGGGAAGATTTGACAAAAAGGCCTCTGGGCATTATATTTACATAATACTATATCTATCTATCTATCTATCTATCCATCCATCCATCTATCTATCTATCTATCTACAATAGGTTTCATAGGTTTCTAGGTGGTTCCAAAACCCATTGAGAGAAATGATCAACGCATTTGAGTCTAACCGTTTCTTGGATAAGTGGGAGGCCTGGCCTTTCACAGCATGTTTTTTGGTCAAAGTTTAAGACCTACTGCACCATCGGATTTTGACGAAGTACCCAAATTTGAAATCCTACAGTAATAAGGCAATTCTAGTGATCTTTAGCATTGTTTTGAATGTTCAACCCTAGAAATGGGAGTTTGATCCCGACTGACTAACTAACACTATATAATATGTTTCAGGGGTGTTATTGAACCCACCAACCAGTGAATTAAAGAAACACGGTCCTAGGTCTCCCTACAACAAACATGGTTGAACACCTCATTTCTACAAGGGTGGCTGGTGGTGGTCAATTATTTGTTTTTTAACGGCCGGCTCTTGGCTCGTTGGCTTGGGTTTTGAAAACAAATCCAAACTGTGATTGCTGGAAGGTATGTGTAGTGGGCAGCCTCTAGACACTATCAATAACTTCACTCATCGTGTTCATGTCTAATAATAACTATACAAACAACTAATAGATAACTATATCATGTATATATATATATATATCATACTAATGGATAACATAACAAAAAATGTTCATGGTTTCGGTGTTTCCCCATGGTTAGACAAAACTCATCTAAGAATAAGAAGTTGAATCCCCGAGGCCCAACAAAATCATGGCAACGAGTTATAAAATTCCACGAGAGAACAACTGGAGACCGGATACGAAAAATCAAAACGTGTTTGTTTATTTCAACCAACACAAGGGATTCAACAAGTACAAACGCTACTTATAGTGTCGTACAGTAATATGACGTAATAAATGTTATGCTCACTATTTTCCTATAGATTTACAGTTTACACCATATCACACCACTTTGCCGTCGATCCGCATGATCATCACCAAATCCACATGGGTTCTGAGAGGGGAAAGCCCAAAATCCAGTGGTTTATCATGGTTCATCATCATATTTCCCTCTTAAAACAACTATTTTGGTTTAAAACAATTGGTCAAACTCCTTCCAGGAGGCACTTCTCAAAATGGACACCCTCTGCGGTCCTTGCCATCAAACTGGACGCCTTTTGCCACCTCGCTCGCGCGATGTCGCGATGTGTGCGCAGTCTCTGGCTACCTGATCCGAAGAGAAACCATGGGTCTGAACATACAGGGCTTAAACTAGGATTAATGATTAATATGGATATATGATACATACATACATACATACATACATTACATTACATTACACTACACTACACTACACTACATTACATTACATTACATTACATGACATTACATTACCATACATACATACATACATTACATTACATTACATTACAGTACAGTACATTACATTACATTACATACATTACTTTACATTACATTACATTACATTGCATTACATTACATTACATTACATACATACATACATAATCATACATACATACATGCATACATACATACATACATGCATACATACATAACATAACATAACATACCATAACATAACATAAACATAAACTTAACATAACATTACATTACATTATATACATACATACATACATACATACATACATACATACATACATATATATATGTATAAATGTAAATATATATGTATATACATATGTAAATAGATGAAATGTATATATATATATGTATATGTGTGTGTGTGGTATGTGTATATGTAAATATATATATATATTATTTATTTACACCAGATATATCTATCTATATATATATATATATATTGTATCATGCGTTGATATGCGAGATTAATCATGGAATTTGATCGTTGGCTTTTTTCTTTTAACCATGATCTAATGAAGAAAAACGGTGAATATACTGACTGGGACATAAGCATATTTCTATGCATTGGCTTTGTCTAAGCATGGGGTATACCCCCAACATTTCCCAACATAGCAATTTAATCAGGGACATGATGAATCAGCAACGGATTTGGGGATAATCACATAATTTTCAGACAGACCGACATCAATGGAATGATTTCTGAACACTTTACGGTTACAAGCAAAGGTTTGACCCAAACATCAGGGAATCCTCTTTTTGCCCAGTAGCAGTAGCAGAAATAAAACCATCACCACCAGCAGCAGCAACAACAAGACTTTCGACACATAAACACGACTTGAGACTACTAGGTTGTCAAGTTCTTTTTGTGGTATGCAAACATGCATACTAAAAGGTCGCGCCGCCCGTGGGCAACTGGTGTTTTTTGGCGCCTTTTGTTCTTTGCGCCTTGTGCTCTTTTGTTCTTGCGCCATTATCAGCGAGCGTGGCAAGCTTTGGCCAATTGCTTGAGAAAGCGCAATGGAACATTCCCCGACAAGTCAATTTAAGTTGTCCATACATAAGTATACATGTATATATATATAATTTTTACATATATATATACACATACATGTGCTATATATATATATATCAAAAATACATGTGATATATATATATATGTGTGTGTGTGCCTGTGTGTACGCAAGTGAGAAAAATATTTATGAGAATAAATAAACACAAGAGTATCTGTACATCTGTATGTATACAATAAAAACAAATAAATGTATATGTATGCACATGTTTATATACATAAAGAAATATGTATCTAAATGTGATTTCCATTTTGCAATATAGTGTATGTATATATATAGAACCCAAGCAAAGCCAAAGTTCACGAAGCATACATGACGTGAGCAAGTTCACAGGGACCTTCACATCCCCCCCACTCCACCCAAACCCCGAAGTTCACGAAGCATACATGACGTGAGCAAGTTCACAGGTTGTTAACATCCCCCGCCACCCCACCCAAACCCCGAAGTTCACGAACCATACATGACGTGAGCAAGTTCACAGGGACGTTAACATCCCCCCCACCCCACCCAAACCCCGAAGTTCACGAAGCATACATGACGTGAGCAAGTTCACAGTGACTTTAACATCCCCCCCACCCCACCCAAACCCCGAAGTTCACGAAGCATACATGACGTGAGCAAGTTCTCAGAGGGACTTTAACATCCCCCCCACCCCACCCAAACCTCGAAGTTCACGGACCATACATGACGTGAGCAAGTTCACAGGGACGGTAACATCCCCCCCACCCCAAACCCTAAAAAAAAACAAAAAAAAAGTTTGGTGACCAGATGCCTGGGGACGGCGTTGGGTACTAAAAGCATGATCAAGACATTAAAACCAACCAATGATAAAGAACATAGTTGCCGACACAAACTAGCAATGATAGTGAAAACCATGTACTGTAGTCGTAAGCTTGATAACAGAAGAAATGGGTGACAACACTAGTAAAATCTAGTGACATGTATTATCACACTTTGTGTACACAAGCACGTTGTCACCCGGGTACTGTTTTGCGCTTGCTGCTTTTCTACCACAGCCGCTGCATGGCACGCCATGACTAACTGCTCACTCGAGGCAGTTGCACCTGTTCTTGAGCCTCTCATGATCAAAGAAATCAAATTTACCAGCGCAATCCAGCGCAGAAATGGATTAACCTAGCAAAACAAGTTGATTCAACCAAACAAATCACTTAAATTTATGAAGACTTTGCAATACAAGTCGCAGGTTTTGGAGATTCCAGCAAAGGTGCCATGGTCTAAACACCTTGTCTTGCAAAATGGTCATCCCACACCCAAGATCAATTCCTTGCTATGGGTTTGTTTGAACATAGAGTACAGTACTGTATCCTATTCTTTCCACTGGTTTATCATCATTTTCCTGATTAGATTGGCAAGTTTGCAGCTGGATTCACTCTTTTCGGGCACATCTAAAGTAGATATGGTATTAAATGATTTCTCACCACTAAATTCCCCAAAAAGTAGTTTGCTTCATGCCCATAAACCCATCTTCTTCGAACGGCACTTTAGCAGCAGCAGGATCTTTTCTTGCGATCCATTTCTGGACTCGGCGGGTGTCGAAGACGGTACATTGCCCACGCCTCATCTTTAAGCGCAGTATTTTGACAGCAACAAAGGTATTGTGGGAAAAACAATAATAAACCACCCATTTGGGAATGGTTTATACCACCTATTCATGGTGATTTGGGGGATGGTTTATTATTGTTTTACCCGCAATATGAAACATATTAAACATTGGCAGAGATTCACGTTGTCGTTCCTTTTCCCATGCAGCCCGCAACCCAGTGCAACTTGCTGGCGCAAATCTGTGAGCACCTTTAAAAGTATCTAGGATGTATAGACTGTGGCAAACACTTGCGCACAAATACATCTTGTATGTATGTACAAATGTATATATACACACATACATACAAACAAAAAGGTATACATAATATATATATATATGCACATCTGTAGGTATTTTGTGTATCTCTATATGTATGCTCGCTGTAGATATTCTGTACAAAAATGGTCAAATGGTCCAACCCAAGTATATCTATCGACGCGATTCGAAGCGTAATCATTGAACGTCAACTGTCATGGGACAAAGGACACACAACCCTTTTGACTCTACCGTGCAAAGTGCGCCTTCGGTGGGGCTGAGCCAAAAAGAAAACTACCATCATCAACCAACAAAATGGAATATGTAACATCGATAGCACCCGTTGGTATGAACGTGTACAGTGTATGTGGCATAGTTTTTCAAGTTTACTCACGGTTGGGAAAAGTGATGGGTCATTTAGTATCAAAGCCTACACGTACAGTGCATGGCAAGGGTGACAATTCTCAAACCTGACCTGATGCAACCTGTTCATCATAATTTATGGGGCCTAGTTGTTTGGTCGGCATCAAGAATCCCAACGAGATACTGTACTTGGTGCCTCATCTGAATTAGTAAGTAGGCTATAACCCCAGTTCAGTGGGGCAAATAGTGTTCGTCCAATTGTAAGGGGCTTAGACAAACCCACTTAATTAATAAGTGGGGTGCAACACCAAGTACTTACTATTGCGTCAATTCAAGGGTTTAATCTTCTATGACACTAGATATATTTCAGCAAGTGGGCTTGCTGAAAGTGGGGCACCCAAGTGCATTGATTGATCAACGCTACCATTATCCTATTGAAGTGGCTGTAAAATGCTGTAACTGGGGTGTCAATGGAGAAAGTTGAGACACACCCAAATAAAAGGACAGAACACCAGCCAAAAAAACACGGGATTCCATCAGATCTTTTGGTGCCCAATGTACACGATTCAACTCTTGAAAGACATACAGCGATGTTTCTTTTACTGTTCTTCCAAGGGCACATCTGGCAATTGTTTGTTGACTCACCCTGCTTTGTTGAAGTTGTCGGGGCATCAAAATTCATGCTTTACATTCCTGATCAGTGATCATGATATTGACCCGCCTCCACTTCGAAGCCTGTTCCATGGAGCACATTGCCTTTGGCAATGTGCACATCTTCTGCGATTGGGCACGGTGCCGCTGGCAGTAAGGTTTCCATGTCCTGTGGTCCTCACGGTACATGAGAATTACATCAAGAGTCAACATATGCTGGCCATTTAACCGTTCCTCTTTTTCGTAAACAAGGCTGACTTAAAGAACTACACTGCTACAGTTGGGGGCTGAAGTCACAGCAATTTTCTGCGATGTGGTCAATTCCCTTGCAGAAAAGTCGCTACGACCCCGTCACAGCAGGGTCACAGCAATAGATCAAAATATAGCATGTAATAAGCTGTATTTAGTTGATGTTTCAAATCGTGTAAACATGTCTAATCCCTGCAAGAAGCGCACTTTTCCCAGCGACACCTCTGGCGCTTTCTAGATCTGAATCTTCACTAAACGCTGAGAGCGGTTGTATTTCGGCGCATTTGCCCAAGCCTGCAAGGTATGAAAGCAAAATTGTGAAATCGCTACGACTGTGACCCTTGACTGTACACACGTTCTTACGTCTCTGTCTTTCTGAATATTATACAGCATGAACCTGTTCAGCTTATATACATTTGGTATCACCCAATCACATGTCTGAATTGTTCTTTTTCGAGCGGTTGACTGCATATATCCGGGAAAACAACACGTTTTTTGGGGGCTCCGTGGGTTTTTCAACGTGGGCACTTCATGTTCAAAAATGGCATCGAACCATGGCTTTCACCAAGCTGGCCTCACTAGGTTCCTCCATCTTGTGCCTGCCAAAGGCAAAACTTCAACAGGCGTTTCTTTCATCATACCGTACAAACCTGTCACGCATCTTATGGTCATAGGGTTCAACCACCCAAGAAAAGGACTACCTATTTTATATATATATATATCAATATATATATAAGAGTCAGAAGGGTCGTGTTACCAGTTGCGCTGGTTGGTTGATACCATCATCGTCATCGTCATCGTCATCATCATCATCATCACCATCACCAGATCCAACCGACAACTCCCTCAACCTTCTGAGTGAAGTGGCAAATAAAACCCGGAGGCGTCTTGAAGCTGCTGCGGTGCACCCTCCACACAAGAGTCATACGTTCCCACAATATCCATTGGAATATGATTAATCACAGCCCAAAATACAACATGATCACAAAACCATTGTATGTGTGTGTCTCTCTCTCTCTGTCTCTCTCTCTCTCTCTCTATCGTTATGGCCGCACATCCCACATTTCCCAAGTCATACTTCCAATCTGCCAGTATGGTTTATCATTGGTTGTCGGCTTGGGGCCTTCGTACCAGGTGATGCAAGCCGCGGGCGATGACCACCTGTAACTGTGAAATCCCCAAGTCATCACCAATGGGTGGGATTTCAACCAGCCCCAGTCATGGTAGGTTTATGGCATTTGTTTTGCCACAGTAACGAAATTGTTGTGTTGAGTGTTGGGGTGTCTATAAGTATCACTATCCTCATGTTCCTGCTGGATTGTGATGTCCATTGTTGATGGTAAAATCATGTCTGATTCTGTCTGATGGTTATACACTTGGAGGTGCATGCCACTGAGTCTAAGTAATAGATATATGATCATGATATATATATATAAATACATATAAAAAATTATATATAAACATCTTTGTTCGGGGGTTCGGCTTTATCACGTAGACTTTCTGGAATATTCAAGTCAACAATCTAAACATGAGAAGTTGTGCAGTTCCCAGGTGAACCTGGGTTCCCCAAGAAACCATGAACTCTAATAGAGAGCCTGCTGATCCTGCATTGGGTTGAGCCCTCCAGGTTCGTCCAAGGCACTGTATCGCTTTGAGGCTCATTGACGCGTCGCCAGTTCTCTTGAGTCATGTCCTTGGCTTTAAAGATCCAAAAAAAAAGGCACTGCAGGGCCTCGCCCAATAATCAACTCGATATATATCCAAAATGGCTAGACAAGTGGGACACTTGGACATAGTTTATGCCAACATACTTAAATATCATCCTTCTGACAACTCTTTCATCTAGTTTTGGCATCTCTTTGGGGTTGCAACATAGAACCTACAAGCTGGCCCTGCCAGTGAAAAATGTTGGCGTCTGAAATCCCAAGGTTCCAGGTAAATGCGGCTAGATGTGGAGCGAAGCTTGGAACGCACCAAGCAGCTCTGGAAGACGTAGCTGTTCTTGACCTAAGGCTATGAAGATATGGGGAAATAAGGACCTTAAAACCATCAACTTGGAGGACAATGGTCACAAAATGTATGTGGATATATACAAATATATAAATATATATACACGTATTCATATATATATATATAAACATACATAAATATATCAACATACAGGGTTAGTCATGATACATACAGTACATTGGAGATAACCAAGTTCTACCGATCAAATCTGAAGAGTCAACCGACTCAAGAGAAACCCAAGATGGGATGGCAGAATGATGTTTCTTCATGTCCCAAGAACCAGATTTTTTTCAACTTTGGGATGTGCTAAGTATATATATATATCTATCTGTCTATCTATCTATCTATATATATATATATCTGTCTATCCCTATATATATATATCTCTCTCTCTCTCTCTCTCTGCAGTTCCGGCCATTTGTATGTACGTGCCGATCGAGAGTGGACTGTGACAAAGAAGGGGCATACAATCAACAAAAAACAACAACGATATAGGTAATTTATAGATAAGCCTCCCAACTGGGTTTGTTCGACCAAGGGGCCATTAAAACAAAGGCGGCCAAGTCGTTCAAATCAACCTGCAAAGAAACACCCATGGGCGCCCGACTGTTGCTGCTGAGATACCAGGGATCAACTTACATATTTCTTATTCCTGTTGTGTGTAACGCGATTGTGAATTCACATATGTGTATAATATATATATATTATATATATTATATATATATATATTATATACACATATATATATAGAGAGACGCATTCATACGATAATTCATATTCTATATCTACATACGTAGTTTACGGTGCATTATCCATCGCAACACCCCGTGTCAACTCTACTGTTCCGCCTAACATGACAAATCATCCAGAATTGGATTATGGCCCCCCAACAACATGAATACATATATCAGTATTGTATATAATTACATATTTATATATAGACAATATACAAGTCCACACAGTGTTATCTAAAGTTTGGCAGTTTCAACCACAAAATCCCAATGCTGCCGCCTGCACAACCATCCAATTCTTCTTCTTGGTGGCAGCCCGAACGGCTTGCATCAAATCCAGCAACACCTGACGCCGCTGCCATGGTTCGCTAAGATTCCATGACGGCTGGCTTCAAGCCATGCCAAGAGTTCTAGGAACATCTCTCATTTTTTGATGGATATTTTACCGTCCCAGAAAATACACATTTTCTGCACATTGACATGATGGTGCTCATTGAATAGATGGGGTGGGATGGGGTGGGATGGGGTGGGGCAACAACGTACTCTACTGGACGCGGTCTCTTGCACTTGCATTCACACACACACACGTCATGCTACGCTACTGTCAGTCCACACTTGTTGAATTTGACAAGTGGTGGAAAATAATGACAGATTCTGTTCCCGACAATTCACAATGAGTATATAAAAGAAGACCTTTCATTATGTTCGCTCCTTTCAATGGAGGTGGGACAACCCACATGACTTGTTGGAAGTCATGAGATTACAGCGAAGCACTTCGGCGTCCGACAAAGGAGGGGTTGCCCGGACAAGAGTTACAGACCCTCGGTTCAAAAACCTCCTTTTTCAACTAGAAACGGCTGTTTCGCTATATTGCTATTATTATTTCTATTGTTATGTGATTGTTATCCATAATAGAAATACAAATACTTCTACTATGTAGATTACTATATCATTATTACTTTCAATTACTTCTACTGTGTCTATGACTGTGAATACGATCTTGCGCCTCGAGAAAGGTGCCGACGGTGACGAAGGGGTTCGCTTTGGCACGTTCCAGGCAAAGGGGTAAGAACTCGCAAACGATGGCCTCGGCTGGGAAAATCAATGTCCTTGTACCATTCTCATGGAATCATTGTGATTATTATAGAGGCGATGTACTATTGTGGCACTATGGGATTCCAGGATGGATATGCTATATAATCATCGAATATGATCTATATAATCATATATAATAACATCATATATAACATCATATATAGTTGTATGATGTGGGTATGTTTTCAATGGCAAAAATCCCAATGGAATCCCCTGTTTTGATCAAATATGTCCAGCCACCAATCGATCACAAACAACTATTGCTGATTGAAAAAAAAGGCACCCCATGGGATTTTCATAGTGATTTCATAGTGATTTAATAGTGATTTAATGGGATTTTAATAATGATTTAATGGAATTTGATGGTGATTTAATGAGATTTTATAGGATTCAATGTGATATTAATGGGATATAACCTCTGGTAATGACTAAGAGTTTGCTATTGAAAATGGTCCAGTCGAAATAGTGGATTTACCCATTGAAAATGGTGGATCTTTCCAGTTCGTTATGTGGCTGTTTACCAAAGGGTAACAAATCCAAATCCCATATCAATGGGAATTTCAGGATCCTAAAATGGAGGTACGTTAGTACCATATAAGGCATAAGGGCTTATTTTGTAGGGATATTCCCTTACATAGGCCTGAAAAATAGGCCTTATATATGGTAGGTACCTCCAATTTAGGATCCTGAAATTCCCATTGACCATACTGTAGATTCAATACGATTCAAACATTATGAACATCTAATGGCGAAATCCGCTCTGGCAGAGATTATTGGTTTTTCCCATGTGTTGATGGGTATGGATCAAAGTTGGGTACCGCAATCATTGGACAGATAGCAAGAATCAACTAAAAACTCTGTGGTTTTCCAGGTCCATAAATAGTTCGGGGAGCTCCCAGCCATGGCCAGCGGCACCTGATTGGAGATGCCATCCGCCAGCAAGAGAAGCGCCAGTTCTGCTTGTTGCACCTGCCAGGGGCGGAAACCTGGAGGACCCAGGGGATCCTCCAAATCTCCGAAATATCCATAGTTTTCCCCGTTATTGCCACATGAAATGTGCACATGGAGGAAACCAAGTGGGTTACTCTGCTACCTCCCAGGAATTTGACACTGCGGACGCCAATGGCCCATTTGGCTGGTTTACCCACTCAAAATGGTGATTTTTCATAGTCACGCGAAATGATCAGAGGGTGGTCATCCTGCAATATGGAAACTTCAAAATCATCACTAAAATATGGAAACTTCAAAATCATCACTTCAATCAATACTCTGGTTACAAGGTGGTTCCTCCCACCTGTAATGTGTTGGTTTATAAAGCCGGTTAACTGTATAGATGTATCATATATCTGCCACAAACCCGACAATTAAGCTACTTATTTCAACCAACTCAGGTAACGACCGGGGCACCACCATTAGAAATTCCATTAAATTACATGCTTTGTTGGTGAAATCCCATGAAAGCAAAAATCTCACAGATTTTCCCACCAGCCCGATGATTCCGACTGGGCCTTGCTCAGCTTCTGCCAAGCTTTCTGCAGCCGCAGGAAGTCCTCATCCGAACCCAGTGACAAACCTCTGAATCCCAGCCACCCCTGGCAAGTCATTTCGGATGTTGTTTATGGTCTTGGGATGTCTTGGGTCTCTACCTAACCATCATAGTAATGAGACCTATTATGGTAACAATATGTAACAATAATCATCACCCCACCAACCTTATCCTCATCCAAACTATCCTCCGTTGTGAACCTGTTCACCCGGCAATGGAAACATTCCGCGTTTCTTCATAACTCGACAAGTAAATCATATAGCACATCTAGCAACTTTGCAGCACTTCGCGGAGGACTGTGACTACAGGAGATCAAGCAACCACCAAGTACTTAGTATTCTTTAAATGCCGTGCGTCGATCATCAACACTTTTTTTTAGCCAACCGAAGTGCTTCAACCAAAATGATCAAAATGAATGCCCGAAAGTAATTTAGCAAACCAAGAGCATTTACGGAAACACGCCAAAAGGACATGAATCACCAAACCCAAAACACCAAGTTCAACTCAACTCCAAGTCTACCCCAAATCCGGGATCATGTCGACACATCTCCCACCCCTTTCTCCACTGCATCTCCCTGTGCTCAACGCTCCCAGCAATTCCCAGGCTGTCCACTCCTCGTGAGTTTGGGTGCGACAGAGACATGCCAATCGTGCCTGTGCCAAGTTGTTGGAATCGCTCGCCTCGTGCTTCAGCAGCTCATAACTCCTGGCGTTGGGCTGGGCGGAGGGGGGGAGGTGGGTGGGGTACCAACGGACCCAATCAATCTATATATATATATATTATAAATTTGTTATATGGTTTGCAGAAGAGCGGGTCATGTTCTTTGGTATTGAACCATCCATTTTGGGGATATGAAAGTTTTTGCCTTGGCTCGAAATGCTATGACACAAAAACATCGAGGGTACCGTGGTACCATCAAAAAATCTTGCTCTGGAAACACATGGATTTGACCACTTTCCGCATGGGAAAATACGGCCAATCATTGGAGGTGGGGGCAAAGAAGCGAAACAACCATGAATTTCTCTGAGATCTCCGATGACAGGGACCCAAAATAGAATAAACACTTTGCCCTTTGGAAACCATTGGAAGCATTTGGCAACCATTGATTGGGAATTGGGATATACACATTGTATACACAGTATACACACTGGCCAACCACGCCAACCCTTCATCATACTTCATGGTCACCTGGAACCATGGACCAATGTTGGCCATAGCCCCACCTAGATATGTTGCTCACTCAACAATTTGGACACAGCCTCCAGGCCACACAAACGTTTTCATCTCTTGTCATGTCTTGTCACATGAGACACATCAGATCCTCTCGCGGATGTATGTCCAATACAATGGCGAAGGCTCATCAATCAAAACATTCCTCAAGCGAGGCGACACTTGGATCACCGCATGGATCCTGGTGTTTCAAACAGGACCAAAACAGAGCCAAAATGAGTTGTTTATAGTTTTGTAACCCCCATTGAAAACTATAAATACATATTGTAAACATTTATAAACCAACTTAGCTCACCAACTGGGACCAATTCCTGTAGATCAATCGGCCATTTCTAGGGGAACCACACTGGAAGCCTCAACAGAGATGGCAGTCAAGGTGCTTCATCAGATTCAACCCCCGAATCACTGCGGTGGCATTGAGACTCGTCATGAAACCTGACAGCAAGGCTCAGCGTTTTTCGAGTGTTCAAGCTTGAGCATCGGCGACAGAATCCTAGAAAAGAATTCATGCGCATTGCATATGACATTAACCTACAGTAAATATGTAAGCACTTCTGCGCCTTGGGCAAGAATATAAGTTGTCGATTTTGGGGGGCCTCTTTACACTGGTTTGCTCACATCAACACCAGAAAAACAAGAATGCAGCGGATTTGTTTTTCATCTATGTAAGGCTTACAAACCAGCTTCATGGATCAGGTCAGCTAGTGAATTTTGATTTATTCATTTCCACTTTTTTAGCAGCATGACCACAGTAAGAGGCAAATGGCTGACTTAGCCTGGGACCTCGTCTTCAAGACACGGTTCTCGCTAGCTTGTCGCTAAGGTTACCGTTCACTTTGATTAATTTAGCATACCATGATGATCAAGAAAGGAAAAAACATGAAAAGTGAACAAATATAAGGCACAGGAAAAGGAAACTAAGAAAGAATAAAGGATATAATAAATAAAAAAGGAAATAAGAGGAGGTCAGAATTAGATTGCACGGCATTTTAGATTCAATTCAGAGTTTAAATTGCATTTAGTTTCAAAAAGATAAGAAGCCAAGGGGCAAGTCAAACAAAGAGGTAAATATATAAACGCAACACGAAAGGAGACAGGAAAAAAGAAACAACACAACTAAAAGTGGTAGGAAAAAGGCAAGGAAAAGGGAAGGACAATGAAGTCAAAGAACCGGAAAGGACGACAAAAGAAGTAAAGGCACCAATGACAAATATGTGTGCCTAGTTGTGCCTATGTCTTAGCCGTATCATTTTTTTTGGGGGGCTATATATCGCTTTACCATGTTTGATGTATGTTCCGTGACTTTTGGCTCCCCTCCTGCATGATTTGTCTAGACAAATTTTGATTGTACCTCAAGTGTTTGTTGAACTTATTGAAGTAGACTTCCTCGAGCCCTGCAGAGGATTTGATGCACGGACCCAGCAATTTCTATGGCCCACTGGATGCATCTAACGCGGAACGCTTGGGGAATCCCTCATCGGTACACACTCCGGGGGCAGCAGCGACGACAGCTCTTGGTACCAACTCTTCGTGGTCGGCTCTGCTGGCATACAAATCATCGCAAGGGCTGATAACACCATGCCTGTCAGCACGTCATGGTGCCTCAAAAGCCAACACATGCATCGTTGGTGCACAGCTTCAAGCCACGGTCGCAATGTTTTCTCTCCACCCCAGTCAGCTGATGAAGTCGGTGGCTGGTTGATTTTTCTGGTTCTTTATTCTTCAATTTGCCGGCACCAGGCAATGCCACACTTGGCTGTGTAAACTCCCTGGAGTACTGGGCGGTCAGGTTGTAGGCCCGCGCCTGTTTCGCTTTGGACCCAGTCTACGCCGATTTTGACCATATGGATAGGAAGTGGTCGTTGCTCATCTTGTCCAATGACTAAGATGTACAATCATGTTCAACCCACTTATCTCTATTAAATCCGGATTGTGGATTTAATGCCTCTACCAGCAACATTCGTAGGTTTGATCAAACTGATTGCAAACGAAGAACACATATATACAATATCACATCAATCCATAATCAATCCATTATCCTGAGGTAACTAGAATACGAAAAGGTCAATCATATTTCTCCATTCTTTGGTGAGGATTTGAACCGACATAGACACGGACAAAACCTACTCAACCGGATTGCTACCCTCCGGGTCCATCATAACTATCAATAACCACCGTTTTGAGCAGGTAAATCACTATCATATTAAACTATTAATTCATATTATTGCGGTAAGCCGATCACAAAAGTCCGCAAAATCACCACTTAAATGGGTGATATGTTCATTATCCCCAAGTGGTAGGTTTATGGAATTGTGGGAATCCAACTGTATTCCCATATATTCCCATTCCATCATCATAATATACTTATGGATATATATATACATATCTTCATTTACATGATTTAAGTTCAGTTTTATTACACCATCCAGAAATTTCGCACCAAGGGACGTGATCCTTTGCCGCCAGCAAGGCCACTCATGAAGCCCAACAAGTAGAGCACGAAGAACCTAATGTGGAAAATGGATGGTTTGTGGTAAAGCCAACCATCCACAGTATGGGTGTGTCTGAAACTGGGGCACACCCCTAACTAGCAACTTCATAGGGAGAAATTTTATGAACATATGCATTGGGGGGTAGCCTATGTTCAAACGAACCCATATATTTGGGGTCATATCATGGGATTATCTAAGTCACGCTTAGATTTGGTTGTTCATCTATTTATTGACCCATTTGACCCCCACATTGGGACAACCATGGATAACCCAAAAAAACGTGGCTTTTTCATCAAGCTATGTTTGATTACCAGAGTGCAACTTGCTGGATTCAAAGAAACAGAAGAACCACTAGATTGGTTTGACGGAAAATTTGCGGGTTTCAACCATCATTGAAAGGGGTACCACGTTTTTGACTTCCGTTATGTGTTAGAATCTGAAAAGGATCCCTCAGAGATACAGAGATACAGAGTGTACCTGCAAGAGGGCGTGGGTGCTTAAGTTCTAGACATGAAATGTCAGGCACATAATTGCAAGGATTCGTCCAAACGTTGGAAAATCATGGAATATCATGGGAGTATCATGGAATATCTGCCCAAAATATTCTAGAATGTCATTTTAGACATGTAACCCTTTTGGGTCTCTTGGGTGGTTAGAGTTCGCACCAGCAAACCGCTAAAATAATTCCAGCAGTTTCGATTGGCAAATTCTGCTATTAGGAAGGGTTCAAATATGAAGCCCTCCGTGACTCTATCTTCTCCATGATAAATTCAAAAATGCGCATATCTTGCATGGCTAACATGACATACTCAGCAACCAATGAAAAAAAACAAGTCAAAATTAATTTCCGCTGGTGAAGCACCACCCTCTCAGTTCCCCACTGCCGATGATCTTTCACACCGAAAGAATTTCAAACACCAAGCAAAGAACTCGATTGAGCAATATAAATCGGTACCATTTCCAAGAAGGTAATTTGTGACTCTTGGTGTTTTCCCTATTTTTTTCTGAATGCATCCCTAAATCCCACGATTTATCATCCATTTTTCCTCGTAAATGCCATTTCGGGGTGTATATGCCCCATTTGGTGGTCTCTATCGAAGAAGTTCTGTATCATTTGTATATTAAGAAAGATATTGATTAATATTTTTGGTTGTTGCATTCCTGAATCTCGTCAATGACTGTCACGTGGTGTTTTCCCCATGTTTTCCCTTACCATCTGGCAATCAAACATACCAATGGAAAAGCCCCGAAACCTCCATTGATCAGGCATTTCCTAGCCAGCAACTTTGGATGACACTGGAAGCTAAACTGGATTAGAATCCCCATTGTTGATTGCCAATCCCAGTGTGAATTCAATCACCATTTATAGATGACCATTGATCCTTCCCATTTAATCCCATAAGCTAATCATTAATTAACCTTCAACCAATCAGTGGACAGGGAACTGCAGCAACCCCAACCCTCCTCGAGAGGTGATTCCCCGGCGCAACCTTGGTGACGGGACATCCATTGGTCCACTATGAATTCCACATGAATTGGGACTTATTCATGGTTTTTAAAATTCGTTCCACAACTATAAAACACTATTCAATTCCACATCCCCTCACATTTTGACCAACAAAATCCATTGGTTTCACAACTGAAGATGGGATTTTGTTGGTTTTGATTCAACTGTCGAAGTCAGTGATTCATCCAAAGAAACATGGGATTCAATGGGATTTTGTTGGTTTAAATCCCACAGTTACATGAATTGGGATTTCACAACTGAAGATGTGACCGATGGGATTGAACGATCAAAATCAATCAGTGATTATTGCGTTTACCTCATTACTTGGTCCATGTGAACCCAAAACCTGGGACCTAAATCTTGAGGTCATTTGAGCTCTATCTATTTCAGGTCCAAAAACTGTAAGATATGCCAAATAGTCAAGAGATTACCCTGTCAACCCAGAAAGCCCCAGAAATCCATGCGGAAATTGGAGAGCAATCAGCTCAGCAACGGGGCCGGTCAAGCCTCCATTTTCTGGTGCAAAAGTGTGGAAAGCTCTAGGCCATTTGAATCCGAAACGGGAAGCCCCCCTATACATCAAGCTTCCCACACCTTCACTGTCAATCTACCTTCCAGTGTAACATCAGTAAACCAACATTGCTATGGAAAATGGCCTATACTTATATATCATCTACCTTCCAGTAAACTAACATATATACATATATATGGAAACTGGCCCATAGCTGTAGATACTATAGATGTTTTACCGATGCTTTTCCATAGCAAACGGTTAGGTTTCCAGAGGCTTTCTAGGCAGGCCGGAGCACTGGAGCACGTTGGCCGGCACATTTTCACCCTGCAACATCTGCGCGAAGTTGAACCTGGACTGTCAAAACACGGGGCGATTAAGCGTCATTGGTGACCCTCCGCTGTCGTCATTTCCATGGTTGGCTGGAGAAATCCGGTGGAAATGGAGGTTCTAATGGAAACATCAACTATAACTATCTGCTTGGTGGTTTCAACCCCTCTGAAAAAAATATTAATCAGTTGGGATTAATATTCCCAACGTATAATAAAAAATGTTGCAAACCACCAACCAGATAACTATGTTGTAGACACTGTAAATGGTGAAGTTTCAATTGCCTTGTTTGATTACAGCAGGGTAGCAAATTGGGAATATGATATAGATCGATGATCTCAAACATGGGGTCCCCATTTTGGACCCATAACTCGCTGGCCTTTTTGTTGATCTGAAGCTTGGGGTAAACAGTTCTGAGCCTTGCTCATTGGGGGAAACCACAAAATTTGTTGAAAGGAATATTGGATGACATACACCATCCTGCCTGCACAAGTTCTTTCAAGTCAACCAGTGCAAGAATAGGTAACATGGGTCCAACTTGTTTACAAAGAACAAAGCAGGATACTGTATCCATTGGTAAACAAACATGCAAGGGTTAACAAATAGAACATTGGTCATTGGTTGTTAAATAGAAATGGATGTATAGTACACTCAATCTTATGTTCCAGATCGCAACGTTCCAGAGAGTGCAAGAGTACTGTAAATCGCAAGGCTTTGCCCAATCTATTGCTCCACGGGTTATTTTTCTTTAAGTGGACAACTGGTTGGTGGTTTCAACCCCTCTGAAAAATATTAGTCAGTTCGGATTATTATTCCCAATATATGGGAAAATAAAACTGTTCCAAACCACCAACCAGACAAGGCTCGATTTCTGGAGTTCCAGAATGCCATAGACGGATTCCTGCGCTGCAGTTCGCGGATCTGGCTGTAAGACGACATCGTAAAACTGCTAACCACATCAGAACCAACAAGCATGGGATAATAAACCAACAATAGCACGGCAACCCTGAGCTTTGGAAAAAAAAACATGTTTCCTAGCAGGGTCTGAAGTTTTCAGAAGTGCCCTCTGGTAAACTAACAAAACTATGGAAAATCACCACTTTCAATGAGTAAATCCACTATAAATGGCAATTTTCAAAAGCTATGTTAAATTATTAGAGGGTTTGCCTTAATTGAGTAGTGTTCCAAAGCCTGTGGATCGTCCCTTTACTGGTTGACAGGGAGGGCCCCTACTGGATTGGGACCATTCGTCCCCAATTAATATTGGTTGGGACCAAACCCCCAAACGAATCATCAAGCAACCATCATTTTATCATATTTATATATCATATCCATAAAAATCTCCATATATTGATGGTTAAAAGCCCCATGAAATCACGAACTAATCATCAAACAACCACGTTTCGGAACCTTGTGGGCGCGCGCCGACATGTTTACTTTTTCATTCATATCTTCAGCCATGCGTTGTCATCTGACACTTTCCCAAATTTTTTGGGATCGCATCCAACCTGAGACATTCTGGCTTGCCGGTAGAAAGCCATGGCCTGCAACACTGTTTCTAATCCGGGAGAATCTAAAATTTTTTGCATCGCCAAAGGAATTATGTGAGTCTGGGATGGCTGCATTCGACCTATTTGGTTGACACGTCTCAGAGAACGCTTGACCCGCGAAAACTCTGCTTCGCTGCTATTATCTCCTCCCACGATTTTGGCAATTGTTTTCTTTGGGCTCATCACGCAAGCTGGCTTCTTCATGGATGCACTCCGAGTTAGCATTTTTGTTGTTTTTTTGGACAACTTGCTCATGCGAAAAGACATAGTCGGTGAGAGTTCGTCCTCAGTGAAGCTAACACATATCCGACATGTTCGAAGTGGTACATTTCAATCTTCTGGGTATAATTATTTTTATGTTGGAAAGCAACAAGTCTTTGTCCCAATCTGAAGTCAAGCATCGATGCTGTGACGGGCAGTGGCTGCAGGCACGTGAATGTGTGCATGTGGAAGAGAAGATCTTACAACGTAACATCACGCCTGTGTGCAAGTGCAAGAGAAGATCTTACAACGTAACATCACGCCTGTGTGCAAGTGCAAGAGAAGATCTTACAACGTAACATCACGCGTGTGTGCAAGTGCAAGAGAAGATCTTACAACGTAACATCACGTGTGTGTGCAAGTGCAAGAGAAGATCTTACAACGTAACATCACGCATGTGTGCAAGTGCAAGAGAAGATCTTACAACGTAACATCACGTGTGTGTGCAAGTGCAAGAGAAGATCTTACAACGTAACATCACGTGTGTGTGCAAGTGCAAGAGAAGATCTTACAACGTAACATCACGCATGTGTGCAAGTGCAAGAGAAGATCTTACAACGTAACATCACGTGTGTGTGCAAGTGCAAGAGAAGATCTTACAACGTAACATCACGTGTGTGTGCAAGTGCAAGAGAAGATCTTACAACGTAACATCACGCATGTGTGCAAGTGCAAGAGAAGATCTTTAACATCACGTGTGTGTGTGTGCAAGTGCAAGAGAAGATCTTACAACGTAACATCACGTGTGTGTGCAAGTGCAAGAGAAGATCTTACAACGTAACATCACGCATGTGTGCAAGTGCAAGAGAAGATCTTACAACGTAACGTCACGTGTGTGTGCAAGTGCAAGAGAAGATCTTACAACGTAACATCACGTGTGTGTGCAAGTGCAAGAGAAGATCTTACAACGTAACATCACGCGTGTGTGCAAGATCTTACAACGTAACATCAGCAAGTGCAAGATCTTACAACGTAACATCACGCCTGTGTGCAAGTGCAAGAGAAGATCTTACAACGTAACATCACGCGTGTGTGCGTGTGCCACCCCCCCTGTTCCCCACCCCAAAAATAATAACATGTCATGCGGGCACAACTTCTAACTGACGGGCACAACTTCTAACTGACGGGCACAACTTCTAACTGACGGGCACAACTTCTAACTGACGGGCGCAACTTCTAACTGACGGGCACAACTTCTAACTGACGGGCACAACTTCTAACTGACGGGCACAACTTCAACGTACCACCACGAAACACTGCCCACAGTGAGCGAAATGAAGATAAACGCGCCCTCACAGGCAGTTTTGCGCTCTCCCCCGTGCGCGCCCACAGGGTTCCGGAAGGAACAACCAGGCTTTTGAACACAGCTGGTCTGGACAACTTGATGCCCCAAGGCAGCTGCTTTGACACACATTTATGTTTCATTGGGTTCAGCCCAAGTTGCAAACATTCCAATACATATTGATACAAATAAATTACAATAAGAATGTTTGCACTATCAAATGAGTTCGCTACAAATCAATTAGCGTTATTTATTGATAGTGTTACAGTGTTGAATTCGCAACAAAGAGAATCACACCCTGTAACACCTAACCCATTTGGGCAAACCATCCCTGGAAAGAGGTGATCAGAAGTGGACAATGATCCCTGAAAAATGGTTCGTTTCGAATCCCGTTTAAACGTTGGCATGCGCATAAGCACAGGCACGAATCAGATAGATTCACATACACTCATGTAATTTTGGTCCGGCTTCGTCCGAGAACTGTACCCTCTGGTAAACTAACATAACTATGGAAAATCACCATTTTTAATAGGTAAATATAGGTAAATCAACTATAAATGGGCCATATGTATACCATAGCTATGTTAGTTTACCAGAGGGTATATGTACCCGTTCCTACCGCCGACGGTCAGCCTGAGCATTTGAAGAAAGTTCTCGTACCGTCGGCACCGCATCTCGATAATTCCTCAGGGCTACAGGGAGGCAGCAGGGAGGCTTTGTCAATATAGCAAGAGTCAACAAAACATGAAATTCTATAGTAAAGTAGTAAACAACTTTTCTACGCAGTATCTTTTCGGGGTGACTATAATCTGTCAAATGCTGAAAAGGCACCAAAGTGCAGTGAATATTGTTTGAGAAAAGAAACCTTGACATCAGCATATCCGGGTGATGCATCCCATGTGGTTCAAACCAAACCTGACTACACCACCTGTTTGCTGACTAAAGCCACATGTTTGCAGCAATTTAACACCGATTTTGCTAAACTAAACCCATGCTAAAACTCTACCGATGTTTACTGTTCATTCAACTGCTATCTTCGTTCATGAAACCAAATTCACCACCCCGCAATTTGTAGTGCGAAAGACAAGAATTCCTTGATTCACCAGCGTGCTTGTTGCTGAAATTCCAACTCTCTCTCTCTCTCTCTCTCTCTCTCAGTTTTTTGCTGATTAAACATCATCAACCATATAGAATATATCGAAACCAACATTTCTGCTAAAACCAACCAGGTTGCGAGAGGATGTACAGCAAGGCCTGCTCAGGCCGTTGATCCTCCGCCGGCATCTGTCGTGTGAGGGAAGGCGACTTGCCTGGACATCGGTGGAGGGATCTGAAAGAATGGGTGATATGAAAATTCTGAGTTGATATACAAACAAGGTGGTGCCCCCAAGATAATCCAAGATAGCCAAGTTGGTGAACATAACTCCAATAACTGTGGTTTATAGGTGATATATCGAACTAGGTAATGGGCTTATAACCAATTTTCAATTAACATTGCGGGGACGCATAACCACTTTTAGAAATGCATGATGGTCAGGGTGGTAGTCATCCTAAATGGTCTGCAATGATGCCAAAAAACCAATTACTTCTATACTTCGTGTGTCCCCACCCTGTGACCATGTATATTGGTACAGATATATATCTTACTGGCATTGCTATCACAATGACATATCTTCTGACATATCTATTTGGCATTCTATCTGGTCCATATCTTCTGGCATATGAATCTGGGCCATATCTTTCCTGGCACACTTCTGGCAAATCTATCATGCAATCTTCTGGCATTCTATCTGGCATATCTTCTGGCATTCTATCTGACATATCTTCTGGCATTCTATTTGGCATTCTATCTGGCACATCTTCTGGCATTCTATCTGACATATCTTCTGACATTCTATTTGGCATTCTATCTGGCATTCTATCTGACATATCTTCTGACATTCTATTTGGCATTCTATCTGGCATATCTTCTGGCATTCTATCTGACATATCTTCTGGCATTCTATCTGGCAAATCTGATGCATTCTATCTGGCATATCTTCTGGCAATCTGACATATCTTCTGGCATTCTATCCGGCATTCTATCTGACATATCTTCTGGCATATATTCTGACATATCTTCTGGCATATCTTCTGGCATATCTTCTGGCATATCTATCTGGCAAATCTTCTGGCATATTTTCTGGCATTCTATCTGGCAAATCTTCTGGCATTCTATCTGGCATTCTATCTGGCATATCTTCTGGCATATTATCTGGCATTCTATCTGGCATTCTATTTGGCATTCTATCTGGCATATCTTCTGACATTCTATCTGACATCTTTTCTGACATTCTTCCCGTTGAGGTCCGGCAGTGCCCACTGCGATCTGGAAGTCGCGGTTGAGGTCCGGCAGTGCCCACTGCGATCTGGAAGTCGCGGTTGAGGTCCGGCAGGGAACACTGGGCGTGGATGGTCGTGGTTGAGGTCCGGCAGGGACCACTGGGCGGGGATACTCGCGGTTGAGGTCCGGCAGGGAACACTGGGCGTGGATGGTCGTGGTTGAGGTCCGGCAGGGAACACTGGGCGTGGATGGTCGTGGTTGAGGTCCGACAGCGAACACTGTGGATCGCGAGTCGCAGTTGAGCAGGAGGACGAGGAGGACAACGAGACGAGGAGGACAACGAGACGAGGAGGACAACGAGAGGAGGAGGACAACGAGAGGAGGAGGACGACGAGAGGAGGAGGAGGAGAGGAGGAGGAGGAGCAGGCAACTTAGATAAAATCTAACAACCCTCACCTGGCAGGTGGGGAAATATATATATATAGCTATTTCCAGGTTAGTGATGAGGGAATTTCAGGTTTTGAATGGTGCGTTAATGGGAACTTAATGGATATTTAACAAAACAACAATAGATGTCTAATGAAATATGTATTGTATGATATAATGGGGAATCGAATCAACTATATAAGGGATAATATGGGGAAATATGGGAATATAATGGGACTACAATGGGGAAACCGACCATACTCAGGTTTTGTTGAATTGGTGGATGAGATACAGTACATCTAAATGTTGGAAGATTGGGCACATCTAAATATGGGTGATATATTATGGTTGAAAGACCAAACGGAAGGAATGTGTCAAGATTTTGTGTTGTCTATCTGTGATATCAAGGTGCTGATCACCTACAGTGAACCATTCAATAAGCAACAATATTCGATGATATGAAATTCTTTATACTAAAGACTTCATATAAGCAACAAATTTGGGTGATATTCATCAACATATGGGAATCACGGATGGATCACCAAAAGGGCATAGGACTAAGTCACTAAGTCAGTTCAAGTGAAGGCACAAGAACCAGCCATTTGTAATCAACAGAGATTAAAGGGTTAGAGTTAGAGTCTTCAAAGCAATGGATCGATACGCAAACTTCAACAAATGGTCACTACTCACCGAGAGATGATCAGTGCAATGTGGGTAGTTGTTGCCATAGCTTTAGGGGCTGAATATCCAAACTAATGGTGATCTAAGCCTAGCTCTAGCCATGTAAAAATCACCCCAACTGCAAGCCCCAAGTATGGTAAAATACCTCCATCTTCCTTCGAAGGCGGGACCCCCTCATCAACCCCAACGTTTCACCAAGTTCTATCAAGTTATATCATGTCATATCCCCATCTTCCCCAACAAAAACAGCAAGTTCACCAAGTTCCCCATATGTTTCCCAAAGATGCTGCTTGAGTCCCAATTTTCTTGGAGATCCCTTGTGGAATCCAGGATGTGCCCCGCCTAAACCTTTGATGGCGACCAAGAAAATGGCACCTGCCAGGCGCTCCGCGTCTGGCTCCGCCCATCGCAACGCCTCCTCACGGCGGAGCGGAGCTGGTGATTAAACAAAGGGCCACGGGGGGGCTGCAGCCACAATAACGTAGGGATGCAAGTGATGTAATTTCCATAAATATATATATATATATACTTCATGTGTGTGATATAATTTAGGTTCTATATACTTCTGATGTTTTCTGAGTGGTTATGGCCACTGCATTCTGATTGACAAGTGGAGCAAGGATTTAGACGGATATAGTATCAACATTGACCTTCACTTTGACTTGCGTCTAAACATGGGACATTGCCATTGTAACATAAGTATACGATAGAATCATGACTTATCTTTGATGTGTCAAAACGGATTCCATCTCAGTCAGAGATAAGGAAAAAGTGTTCTATGGCCAAAACCGAACACATGTTAATTATGTTAATTAAACAAGCGGACCATTCAGCCAAGTCCCATTGCAACAGGACAAGTTAGCAGGGCAGATTCAGGCTGCATATGGCTCCCGACTGCTCCAAAAACAAACTTTTAGTGCTGTATCCTTGGAGAATCATACCCAGCAACGCAGCCCCCATTTATATATGTGTAAAAGTGCTTGACATGTTTTCTCAATCAAAATGTAAACTTCCTACGGCCATCCTATTACCATCAAATATTTTCAAGGGCAAAGCCACTGTAACCCTATAGAACTCAAACTTACACTGCGCATATAAGCTATAACCTGGACCAGGGTACTTGTTTCTACGATTTACTGCACATCACAGCAAATGGTTCAAGGGAACATTTATGTGGAGGAAAACCCGATGTCATAGGGAAAAAGAAAGCATGGTGTCCAGTTCAGGTGCTTCCTTAAACCAATCCATTGATTCATAATCCCATTAAATTCCGTTAAATCCCAGCAAATCTCATTAAAACCCATTACCCTCTGGTAATTTAACATAGCTATTGAACATGGCCCATTTAGTTCTTATTAAAGATATTTAAAGATTGTGATGTTCCATTGTTTTTTTGTATGTTTACCAGAGGGTACACCAATCCATTGATGTATTACATTCTGGGTAAATAATAATAATTCACTAACCCATTCTATCTTGGGGATGATTCCTCTTACTAACCATGATTGTGACGTGAGGTCGCAGCCCACAGTCCTGCAGTTCATCCCATTGTGCCCGTGTCAGGGCGCCTGACCCAGTAGCCACCTGTGGGGCAACGAACCTGGATCAGTCGCTGACGTGGGGGATTTAACCAAACAACATAGGGTTTTCGCCAAGGTTTGGGGAATTTAGTGGAATCTATATACAGTAGTTGATCTATGTTGATATGATTGATTTATGATACCTAAGTTATTTTATAGCATTTTATAACTAGTAAGACTGGTGGTTGTGGTTGATATATCTATGGTAACCCTCGAATAGCGCTGAGTTATTTTTCAATCTCGCTGGGGTTCCTATACAGTTGGATGGAGGAAACTAAACCAAGAAATATCATTGGGTGGGGCCATTCCTCACGGAATTTCAAGTGCTTAAATGGACTGGTTGAAGGGACAAACGAAGGAGGACACCAACTGAACTTTCTCTTCGTCCAAGGCTGAGTCCGTGGGAATAACCAGCAGTATGGCTGCTCTTACAAAGTGGACCCCCCCAGGTTTAAGTTGGTTTGCAATACTCATTAAGTGTATATATATATATAATGTCTTATCTTTATTTCTATGTTGTATATAGGTATTGAGGTCCTACACCAACTTAGCTATGATAAATAAATATTAATCGCCTTATTGATCTTATTGACTATAGATCCCTTATTTTACAGTAGCTACATAAATCTAAGGTCTTTTTCAGTTCAAAACCAACGGGGCGCCATCGTCGAGGCGCCCGTGGTAATCTCGTCGGACCAAGGCGATTAGGCCTCAGTCACCCTGGAACTCTTTTGAACTCTTCGTACCCTCTGGTAATTTAACATAGCTATTGAAAATGGCCATAGAAATAGTGGATTTACCCAGTAAAAATGGTGATTTTCCATAGTTATGTTCGTTTACCAAAGGGTATCTCTTTGTGGCATCTGGAGGTTACAAAAAACACACAAAAAAAAAACACAAAAAAGGACAGTGGGAAGTACGTGGCGTCTTGACATTTGACATTCATTTTAGGACTTTTGCCAATTTTCATATGGGTACTTGGCACTTGGGCGGACCTTTTGCCCCTCCATTAGCCCAATTATATACTTGTAACTAGTATCCAGCGATAATTTTTTAAATTTTTTTGATCCGTTGATCCGTAAAGCATTGAGCTTTGAGACTTCCTACTGTATAATAGTATATGGGTGCATATTTTTTGCGGATCTGTTTGTTTTTTTTTGGGAATCCCTAAGCCCTAAACCCTAAGTATATAGTTTTGAGACAAGTCGCTGAAAATAAGTTTTATGGAAACGGTCAGTCAGCCGTCCGCTGGCATGCTGGACATGCTCATAGCACATCATAAATTGATTGTAGCGCGCTACAGCTCCCCGCTTAAGATCAGTTTAAGATCAACTTTTGACATGTATGTATATATATATATATACACCCTCTGGTAAACTGCCACATAACTAAGGAAAATCACAATTTTTAATAGGTAAATCATCTAATGTTGGATCGACAATAGTAAAGGCGAGCCCCCCTATTTTTTTGTTTCTTTAGGGGGGGTCTGCTTTGAAATAGTAAATCGAAAATCTCAACTATTCCCCAAGGCTTCTGCAAGGTTTTGACATCCATACTAAAAAATCAAAATTAAAAACCATTCAACCACAAGTAAAAACACTAAGGAAGAAGGGAAAAAATACAGCTAGAGCCAGAAAGGTTGTTTTTTTATTGCAAGTGCTAATTCCAATTTTTAATTGCAAATGCAAGGACCTGCAAGGGGGTACCCTTTGTGGACCAGTTTTTTGCACTTGTTCTCTTTTGAACAAGGTAATTTTTTTTTGGTAAAGGTTTGCTTTGTTTTTTGCTTTTGAAAAGCATGCAATCACAATTAAAAACCATTCAACCACAATTAAAAACACTAAGGATGAAGGGAAAACAAATCCTGCATCCATACTAAATCTCAATGAGCCCTTTGATAATTTAGTATTGGAAAATCTGATAATTTGGGAATTTTCTGAAATTTATTTGCAGCTATTGCGAATGCAGCACAACTATTGCAGATGCTCTGGACCAAGATTGATGTCTGCAATTTAAACTCAATAAGGCCTAATTTAAAATCAATAGGGGCTGAAAAATCACATTGTGAAAAATAATTGCAGCTATTGCAAGCGCTTTACAATTGTCCATCCAACATTATGAATGGGCAATTTTCAATAGCTATGTTGGTTTACCAGACGGTATTTTTTAAAATAGCCACTCGTCGGATAAGGCTATAAAACAATTGGCTACGGCTAGAAATCAGCTAAGGACACACAGGTCATCTTTGGTATTAAAACATCCAACTTAGGATGCAAAAAAGAAAATTTGAGCCATTCCTGAACTACCAATGAATTACCCCATCGTCAAGCTCCCCATCGCTATCACCATCCTTGCCTCCACCAAGGTTCTAAGGATTCCCGATTCCGCGCGCTCCTGCTCAATGGCTTCCGAATACCGGGCATGTAAACCATCCTGCGAGCATGGGTCTGGGAGCATGAAACATTCCTCGCAGTTCTCTTTTTGGAAACGTTCTGGTGCACAAATTGCGGGGATATCGTTTTTTTCAAACTATATAAACCGGAGGGATCCAGAAGGTATTTCGCCCAGAAATGGATCTGATTTAACTTTCACCAGCAGAAGTAGTCAACTTTTGCCGCGGCTTCTGCAAAAGCAGTTGTAAAGCTGTTAATTTGTGAATGTGTACAGTATTGATATTCCCTTGCCAAACGCTTTTCCCTTTCGGGAGTCAGAAAAAATGGCCCCAGCTGAGAAGTCAGCAGCTATTGCTGACTTAGAACTTGCATTTTCTATACATTTCCCCGATTTTCTGCGATTTTATCCCAAATTCTTCGGTTTTAGACTAGCTCTGCATCGTGCCTGTGGATCCAACTCCACGTAAGCTTCGCGCAGCATGACCTGCGTCTGCGCCACAGTCACCTGCTCCACTTTTTCGCCCGGGCGTTGGTTGGGGGTGTTGCGCAGTTCCAATAAGTTATTGAACATAGCTATAAATCAATGTCAATGGATTGGTTTAAGGGAAACTTTGAAGGAAACACCCATAGTTCATAGGAAAAATCATTGTTTCCTCTAGATGTTCCCTTAAACCAATCCAGTGAATAAATGGAAAGTCGTCTGCAAATGGAACTTTTAACCCGAAAATCATCTGTAACTGGGATATACCCTCTGATAATCTAACAGTTGACTGAGAGGACGGCCATTTTTTGATAGGTAAATGATCGAACCAAATGGTCCATGGCTTCCATAGCCATCTTAAATCACCTGAAGGTAAAAATATTGCTATTATGTCACCACATAACTGCATGAACATATAAACATATGTTGCGATGCACAACATCATAAACATAGAATGCGGCTAATTATATAGATTGCATTGGATTGTTATGGATCTACTATGGTTCAGCCATCTTCAACCTTGAGCAGGTCTCTTATTGGAATAAACTCCAAACAGGTGCCAAAACTATCAATATTCTTGACTAGTCACACCAATTTTTCTTCGGATATTTTGACCGTGCCTCATGCCAAGGTCAAGCAGGGCTTTCACCGCATTCAAATTTATAGTTTTTGCGTCAATCCACCAGCTCTCAGCCCATCAATCCCTATAACAATGATGATACCACAATACAATGGAGTGACTCATCGAACACCAGCCCCACCAATATCCCATCCGAATTGATGTATATATATATGTGTGTGTGTGATAATCTCCTCAAACTCCCTCTCTCTCTCTCTATATATATATATACACACTCACCATTGTCAATCCATGAGGCTCCCCTAACATCCCGCCATTTCATGGTCAAAATATCCTGTTCCCAGGCATCTTGCTTGTTTCTCACTTCTGCACCCATTCAAATACCAAAAACGACAAGGTTTCCCCACCAAATAGGTTGTCTGAAACTTGTGTACCCCAGAATACCCCAAAATAAAATGGTTCACCATTGCTTTTCCCAGCAATTCACAGCAAACAAATGTGGTATACATTTTCCATCCATTTTCCCAGGGTTTCCGCATTTCCCAAGGGTTTCCCAGGGGTTTCCCTGCCACAGTGGCCGCCTCCCCGTGGAGCTTCCGCATGAAGTCGCTGACGGAGGTCCGGCGCCGTGTGCTCGATGGAACTTCCAGGCTCAGGGTGGCAGCCAGGTCCTGGCCGAGTTCAACCACGGCACTACTTGCACCACATTCTTTTCCCAAAAAATCACCAAAACACTAGTCATACATACATACATACATACATACATACATACATACATACATACATACATACATACATACATACATACATACATACCATAACATACATACCATAACATACATACCATAACATACATACCATAACATACATACCATAACATACATACCATAACATACATACCATAACATACATACCATAACATACATACCATAACATACATACCATAACATACATACCATAACATACATACCAATACATACATACCAATACATACATACATACATACATACATACATACATACATACATACATACATACATACATACATACATACATACATACATACATACATACATGCATACATACAAACATACATACATACATATATATATATATAGAGAGAGAGATAGATAGATAGATCGATCGATAGATAGATCGATAGATAGATAGATAGATAGATCGATAGATAGATCGATCGATAGATAGATTAGATAGATAAGATAACATAACATAAGATAAGATAAGATTAGATTAGTTTAGATTAGATAGATAGATAGATAGATAGTTCGATAATTATACACATGTATATAGTCTGTGTAAATGATCATCTAAATTCAAGAAACAAAAACTAGTAATGTAGTTTGTGGATGATTCTCATCTCAAGTGAGCGCACACATCTACAAAATTAATGCTATAGTGCACGTCTTTTAAGACATAAAAACAATCGTTTTTGCTCACCCATTATACAAGGTGCCCCCCCAGTTATAAATGGGTTAGAAGCCCATTAACTATAGATATATCACCTATAAAAACCATACTTATTGGATTTATGTTCACCAACTTTGCTATCTTGGGGGCACCATCTATAAGCGTTATACAGTCATTTAAGGCCATTTACCAGTTGTACGTACTTATAACCCCATTTATAGAATGTATAATCCCATTTATAACCAGTTATGACTAAAAAATGGGATTATAGACAGTTATAACCATTCAACCAGTTATCCCGCGTTATAACCAGTTATAGAATGTATTTACAACCACTTACAACTAATAGCCATGGCCATAACTGTAGGGACAGGTGAGGGGGGCTCTCCCGAAAGGTGACTGGATCGACAAGGCCTCATCGTCCAGCCCGATCAATTTTTGGAGCTTACCCAATCTTACCCATCCTCTATTTATGGGGATTTATGGTGATTTATGCGGAATTACATGAATGTACGGGGGATATAATATATATATAATATATATATATATAGGATATAGATCATAGAATAGAACGAATAGTGGTCATTTTGGGTTTGTATGAAAACGATGTCTGCCCCCCAATTCTGGCTATTTTATTAGAGAAAATAATGATAAACCACCGGATTTAGGGGCACCATATTTTCAGACAAACCCATATGAAAATTGAACACCAGTCTTAAGAGTCTTAGGTCTGAGACTTCAAAGTTGGGAAGCTAATGATAAACCGGGTTTTGGGGTACCCAGAATTTTCCGGACAAAGCAAACTTAGATGATGAAACCTGGTGATTGAGGCATGGCAAATCTCAAATTCAGCAACCATGCCAGGCGACAAATCATGGGGCCATCTTCAACAACAAAGCCTCTTTAGGGATGGTCTCTGGATTTACCCGACATGGGAAACAGCCAGATAACGAACTGGAAAGATCCAACCATTTTTTCATGGCTAAATCCACTATTTCGACTAGGCCATTTTCTATGTCGCTATTTGTATGTTTACCAGAGGGTGCCACAACCGCCAGTGGGTTTATCTGTGCTATGCTACCACGGATCCCCCGAAGGAGTCTTCCAACGAAAAATCGCTTCAATTTTGGGACGGCTCCAGATATGCCACACGTCACTTAAACATCCCGAAAAACGGGTTCAAAATGCAGACTGAACTGCTTGTTTTTGCGAAGGAAACCTCTTTGAAAAAGTCATGTGACCAGTGTTCAAAACCCCCTGTTGGTTGATTATGAACTGGGGGTTTTACTGTCAAACATATTGATACAAATTGGGGATAATCAACCAAAAAGGGTTTTGAATAATGCTCGGCTCATACCCTCCAGTAAACTAAAATAACTATGGAAAATGAAAATGCCCATAGAAATAGATACTCTGAATGATAGTATGATAGCCCCATGCTACCAACAATGTTTTTTCTGGTCTCATCTCACCATCTTTCAGGGTTCGCGCCTCTTCAGCTTCAGGGAGCCGGTCCTGGCATTGTAGCATAGGAACCATCAAAAAAAATGTCCATTAGATGGTATAGATCTGTATAGATTATGTTTTTTACACCATCATGTCCAGGTTTCCAAACTTTCCATCAAATCAAACGTATCTATTGAGCTATCTAACCCATACCCTATCTGTTGATCTATCCTGCTGGCCCTATGCCAATCCATCTGTAAACAAATGTTCACACACCACCACCACCACCACCACAACAACAACAACAAATCGTTAGTGCATAGTATTGATATCAATCCTAGGTTTCCAAACTCTGGCTGCTTATCTACATGTTTTATCCATAATATGTGACATGCCACGCGCCTGCAGGTAGGTCAGGTCCAAGAATTTGAGTACCTTGGATTTACCACGGATTTAAGGGTTTCCACTGGTGAAGACGTAACCCCCACAAAACTACCTAATTAAACAATGAATAACATATATTATCATATATATATATATATATGTGTGTGTGTAGTTGGAATGAATGGGTTTTGAACCATCAAGTTTGGTGGTTTTTCCCCACATTTTCAAACACGCCCATTTGTGTGGCATGGCTTCGCCACAGAAACTGTGCACTTTGGATTTCAATCTTCCTCAATGAGGCATGTATGGTTCCCAAATCCAGTCGCTAATGGTCATGTTCCAATGAAGACTGTACCGTGCACCCCTGGTTTGCACAAAACATATATTTAAGGAAAGCTATCCGCATCTCGACAAACTTTATTTCCTCCAGGGCTTGATTTTGTTGACTGCGCCCTCCGACATTCGGCGACGCCACCCCTGCCAAAGCCGTACGTTTTGGGGCTTAGGATTTGAGGATTCAGGTGGGCTCTCCATCAAGCACCCAATATACCATCCTTGCCACTGGCCCCATCAATCCCCGAGCATCGCGAAAACCGATACCAGGAGGCTCTTCGAGTGTCCACATTGAGCTCCAGGTAGAAAGAGTTGTTTTCCTAGGGGATGAACGAACTAATTCATGGGGATGGCATCTCCTCCGGATATATACTTCAAATTGGGGAAAACCCGATGGAGAAACCATGATTAAAACCGGTAAAACCATGAATTCATCTACAAATGGTTAGTTTTCCGTGCCTGCAGCTACTGGTAGCAAGCGATTCGATTGAAGGCGGCATATCAGGGAAAAACTCCCCTAGATTTGTAGGACATTGTCAAGTTCCCCCCGAACCATTACAAACCATTGAAACTTCCCACAGCAATTCTCCGGCATTGCTGAAAATCTCAATGCAATGCAAATCCTAGCAAGATCCTGAACCGCGGTTTACCTATAGTGATGCCCAAAATCATTTTACGTGTTCATAGTGATATCCAAATTCATCACTCTCATCTCTAGTTGGACAATTAAATATACATTTTTCAGGATCATTTGCCAGAATAAGCCGCTACACGCAGTTTGGAGCCACAGTAAGAAACGACACCTCCCCCGACGCCCTAGCAGCTTTGCCAAGCATCACACGCAGCCTTGGAACAGTGCAGATCTTCAGCTGCCTCAAATCGCGGGTTCAAGTGATGCCTGAAATCTCCCATCACGGATCACGACATGTCCAAGAGTGGTGCCATTTGCAAATCATGCAACTGTTTTTGGGATTGTCTGAAGCAACCATTCATGCAAAGGTTCTGTTGTGTTCTGTTGCTTACACTTGTTGAAACATGTTAAATTTTCCCCAAACCGGAATATCCACAGGAAATCCAAAACACATCCCCAGAAACAACCATCGAGAACGCCTAGCTGAAAACCAAGACAAGAAAACAACATAAACAAAATACAAGGAGAAGGCTGACCCAAAAAAAATTCTGGGGTATAACCTTTGAAAATCAAACATGGCTGGCTGGAAAATCATCGATATATCTCGATATATATATATATATATATATTTATATATATACTGTATATACACCATAAATTGAAGTTTAGAACTGGGAAAATAATCGAACTATATAAATGGTGGATTTCCAATTGCTATGTTATTACCAGAGGTAAATGGATTAGAATCCCCATTGTTGATGTTGTTGATTGTCAAATTCCATAAATTCCCATTAGAACCACATTGAAATTCCCATTGAAATCCCATCAAACAATTCCACTAACATCTCATTAAAATCCACCGAAAATCCTAGTTAAACCAATGTGATAGTGGGATTTTACTGATATGTTAGTGGGATTGCTAGAAATCACAAGTTAAAATGCCACTCGAAATCAGCCACTGCCAAGGCACCATGTCTGCCACCAGCGTATTGCCTGGGCTATTGGGTGATGGTTCATCCATTGATGGTTGATATTGACTTAATAAAATTGGTGATTTTTCCATATTCTGTTAGCTTACTGCAGGGCATTTTGATTTTCCATATTATGTTACGTTACTGGCTATTGTGATGTATTTCGATTTTTCATGGTTCGTTTACGGGTATTTCTTCAGGAATCTCCAGTGGTGGAAATTTGTTGCATTTACATGAGCTTTCAAGATCTGTGAAACAACCCCATTTAGCTCCACAGGTGGTTCAAAGATCAAGATTAAATGGTATTGAAACAACTGTGATACTAGTTCAATTAATGGTAAACCCTGGCTGCCATCTGCACCATCCCATTGATCATGCGCCCCAGGTCTTGGCATGAGATCACTGGTGGCTTCAAAACAAACCTGTGAGGATCCTGCCTCCAGCGGCAGCAAGTCATCATGTCAAAGTGGTAGTCATGTTGGACATCGTCACCGATTCTTTTGGAACTGTAAGTAATCCCATCACCCTAATATTAAACACCCCATATAATGGTCCCAATTCTGTGGAAATTCCCAACTAAACCATGGTTTCGTTTTGGGGGGTGTCTAATATTAGGGGGACGGGATTTCTACAGAAACAACATCTGATCAAGTGAGATCAACATCCCCTTTTTTTTGTGTCATCAAACATGGCTGCTCAACCCCCGAACCCAATGGACGTCTTAATTGGGAAACCATCATATTATACCATATTATACCCTCTGGTTGTTTAACATAGCCATGGAAAATGGCCCATTTATAGATGGTTTACCTGGGTTTACCTATTAAAACTGGTGAATTTCCATGGCTATGTTAGTCATAACCAGAGTGTACAATATTAAACAAAATTATACCTATAAATAGGGGATTTTCCGTTGCCACGTTTGATTGCCCAAGGGGAAACTTTTTTTTGGATGAAGAAACAACGACCCACTCCAGCTATGGTCGAGCGGCTCTTCGTTGGCATCTTGTAGCGGTTCACAAAGTCCTGGATGAGGCAAGCGATGTGTTGCTTTAGGGTATAACATATAATATGTAATATCAATCTATGGCTACATGTAATATCTATGTAATACCAGGATGCATACAAAACAAATATCGACCTATCCATCCATCTATCTAGTTTTTCAGCTACCGGCCTATCAATGCATCCATGAATCAATCATAGCTCATATATGCACGCATGTTCTGCTCTGTACTTCATAATGTATATACTAATAGCATCAAATAGCATTGGCGCCCAACAATTTAGATATAATGATATGATATGATCATGATCATGATCATGATATGATGTAATAATAGAAAATACTATCTTTAGATGTATAATAAGAATAATATATATATATATCACATCAAATAGTCCATATCAACCATGAACCAATCCTATGGCTTCAAAGCCAATCATCCTAAAGGATGAACATCCGAAAACATAAAAAAAACTGGTGACCCTCTGGCAATTTCAATGATGTTTTTTTGGCTCATCTAGTTCGATATAATTCCATGATTTAGCCATTAAACATGGCGTGATTTTCCAGTTAAGAAGCCGTGGAAAAAATTGGGCCGCTGGGTTGGCTCCATGGCTATCCCATGAATTGGGTTCTCCATGGGTATCCCTCGTTGTATCCCTCACAGTGATCACTGCTCTCAGCAGTCATTCCGCCAGGTCGCGATGAAGTGATATGTTGTATCCTGGTTCAAAAATGACATCAGCCCTTATTGTTGTGGTTGTTGGTTCAGATTCCCCCTATCCATAAGTCCAAACATCGGGGGTGGTTTTGTCTCCAAGATCCATGTGGAAGAATCTCTCCCATCACGTCCGAGCGGCAGTGACGTATTCGATGTACATTGTGGCGCACATGGGCGAATTCGACAGAACACGTGCCAAGCGACCTAGATGCGTCTCAGCAAAAAGCGAAGCTGCGCATTTTGTCTGCAACAAACATGGGCTTGTCGCAACATGGGGAATGGGCTAACACATAAACGCAATATGTAGCCATCTTGATGTAATCTTAGTGCATCTTGGATGATTTTTGATGGTTCAAGATTTGAGACAACACATTGGAGACACTTCAACTTCATCACCTGACTACTGAAAACCCGCAGTTCCGGAAAATGGGACACTCCAACAAAAGAATACAAAAGAGGTCCATGTCCAATCCTGAACCTCAGACTTAATGTATTGTAAAACTTTGGTACATATGATTTTTCAGATATTCTGATATAGACAAATCTCAAACAATGGTTCCAAGTACTAATCCAAATGTACCAAACATTTGTCACTTGAGTTGAAATTGGGTTCTTCAAAGGTTTGGGCTCTACACCACTTGCAGCATCGCAACAACACTTTCTTTTGATCACCTTTGCATGGTCTATACCGTCTATATACCATGAAAACAAAAAGAAATATATACCGTGTGGTAAACTAACATAACTATTGAACATGGCCCATTTATAGTTAATTTACCGATTAACAATGGTGATTTTCCATAGTTATGTGGCTGTTTACCAGAGGGTAGAACATGCTCCATCATTCCATCAGCGGCACCTTGGTCCTGGAAAAAACATTGGGACATGAGCCCTTAAGAGTGCATAAACCAGTACCCAACCACGGTTTACTCATCCAGCGTTTCAAGACATCATAACTTAACTATATAATTGATCAATCTCCTAGCTCTGGCACGCTGAATCTCCCGATTGATTGAATTTGGTCAAATCATGTAAATCTGCACGCAGCACCAGCACCCCCCAAAAAGATTGATAATTAAGTTTCCCTCCGGAGTTACCATATAATAATTATGCATTCCCAACAAGCCCCCACCAGTTGAGACATACCAATTTGCGCGTTTTGTTTCTCCGGCAAGTTGCCGGCGGTCAAAACAAAGACTTCCGCAAAACTGTCGGTGCGGAGAGCGAAGGAATGCAAGACCGCTTCCACATACAATGCCACCTGGACAAACGGGCGTTTGATAAAATTCCCCCCCGGGCCCCCACGTCACAAACAGTCTTGGTGGCCAAATTGATAGTGCCGCCAACGGCATCATTGTGTCCCGTATATCTGTATATCTCTGCTCATTTGGGTATGGTTCAACAGTACCACAAAAACTGGATGCTTCAATGCTACAATAAACAAATATGACAGATTCTCTTCGTGCGTTGCTGGCCGACAAATCGCCCGCCATGGGTTGACCCCTCGCCTCGCAGAAATAGCGTTTCTCGTTAGCGAAGAAAGAACTCAAAGGTGTGGCCGACCTGCACGCTCGGCAAGGGAAGGCTGGGCCTGGGGGTAGCAGCTTGCCTAGGACCTTCAGCGCACAAGACACACAAGTCGGTGCACCAGTGATGACTTGTTTTAACCCAGCTATACAACATAACTGCAGAAATATGATCTATGGTCCATGGTGATCTGTGTGCGAGCTACTTAACCTACTTACAAAGCAAGTGAGGTAATTATGGGGCACAACCTTGTGCAGTACCGCTTTGCAAGAAATACCAGGCATGTTTGTACGTTTACTGATGTGAGGGTCAAGGTATCTATGTTTTTGCCAGGGCTTGCAACGGTTTGCCCAACGGTTTGTCAAGGTATCTGTCGGTATTTGGTCAAGCTCTAGCTAAAACTTTCACATGGTGCGGCACATCGGCATTCATTTGGTTGAAAGCCCAACAATGGTAAGTATGGTAAGTACACCAAGCAACAAACGGCAACAACCAGCAACAACTAGCAAAAACAGCAACACACTGCAACAAGCTAACTACGACAATCACAACAACAACCACAACATCCACAACAACAAGAAACAACAAACACAAATTTGGTAACCTCAAAAGAAATCAAACTGCCCCACATGTTCCATTTGGGGAATCAGTTCATATTGATCCACTGATGTTTAAGTGAAGGGCCTACCTGAGGCTGTGACAAAAAATCCTCAAGCCCCACACCTTGTGGTGTTCTCTTCTAAAAGGGCGAAACTGCCGTGGCTGGTGATGTACATCCTGAGGAATCAGGGGAACTGACATGAAGGTCCCAGTGAGCTTTGCTGGTGCTGGTGGGTTCTACAATGGCTACTGACTCAGATTTGCATATGCAGTACTTGTCAGTTATGAACGTGGGGATGAACATTCATCAACACCAGCTATGTTGGTGTCAACATTGGCCTGCCATAGTATCCACAGCCGCTCCAAGGTTTTTTCACTGACAGCCACCAAGCATCATCTCCGCCAAAGCACCTCAATGAGATCCAAGGGTTTTTCCATGGCAAACCCCAAAACATTAGCCCTTCAGCTGGAGGACTCACCATGGGACATACCCCTTAGCAGCCCTCAATCCATGCCCCCTGTCAGCCCCTGAGGCCCCTAGGGCCCCTAGGGCTTCTGGCCTTGACAAAACACGAACTCGCTTTCGCAGAAATATTTCTTCTCTAAGGCCCGGCACCTGGGAGGATGGGTCGGTTTAAGTGTCAAACTGGTCAAAATTGCTGGAACTTAGCTACTCCCATCCCCCGCTGTTCCATCAGCTATCAAGTATATCAAATTTTCTGGGGGTTATATTTCAAAATATATCAATCTTAAGGGAATTGCTCATTCTTCACAGTTGGAATGGCTTGCTAATGCTTGATACTCAAAACACTCATCAGCTCTGAGATCTGAGGTTCTCCTCATGTTGTGAAGCCAATGCCAGAAGCCATTTCCAAGTGAGGTTTATGAACTTGGGCCTCCTATATGGGATGTAAAATGACTAGCAAAAAACCGCAGTAAGCATAGAAAATAACATGAAAAAGGAGAACGTAATCACCGATTAGCTGGGATCTTCAAGTCATAGATCATCCAGATCCAGCCTTGGCACCAGGGACACCAGCATTCTCCAAGGCACATATCTGCAAAAACACCAGGAAAAGTGATGCTGGTGCACCAGAACATTGGATGTTCATTCCTGCGTCGTGACGGGTCAAAAATTGTCAAACGAAGGCAGGAACAAAAAACACCAACTGGCTTGATATATGTTGAAGGGAGCTAAAACCTATCATTTAGAAAGCTTTACCTACTAACGATCCCAATTGAACAATGATCAAAACCCAAAATGTCTTTCCATGTTACTGGTTGTTTTGGGGGTTCCCAATGGACCATGGATCATGGTCCAATCCCGGAGCGTTGGGTCAACGCAAACGTTGCTCAAGGTGCCAGGGCACAGAATTGATCCAAACATCACCGTGGCCAATTCGGCTTCCAGCATCGGAGAGATCATATTACCTCGAAAAATCAACTAACAATTGATCAATGGCCATTTCAGGTTCCTAACTTGGAGGTACCTACCATATTTAAGGTCTATTTTTCAGGCCTATGTAAGGGAATATCCCCACAAAATATAGCCTTATATGGTACAGTACATCAGTTTTAGGTACCTGAATGATCCTGAATGGGCAATTGAAATGAGGGGTTTCCTAAGTCATGGTGCTACCCCAATAGCTGGATAAAGTTTATTTCATGGAAAATCTCCAAGCAATTGATGATAACTGGGGGTACCCCAATTTCAGGAAACCTTCAAATTGGCTCGGAGGAAACAACATCAGGAAACGTGCCGACTAACGTGAAAATCTCTTCAACCTCGCAAACCCTCGCAAACCACTGGTTTCAGATTCTCTGCTAAGCAGCAGAAAGAGTTCAAACATGCTCCAGAAGTGGCTGGAATAGGCGTTTCCAAAGCCATTCAAACTTTAAGCCTTGTTGTAGTTTGGAAGATCCCCAATAGGTATTTTCAAAATAGGCTTCCAAAATGTTGGAAGATCCGTAAGCCTACTTTCCTGCATCAGCTCCGCCCACGCTCGGCGCCAAGCCGTCATTGCATTTGTAAAACAAACCATGGCTGACAAATCCGCCACGCCATGTCTTGTTTGGAAATTACGATGCGGGCACATACTTAATGACGTGTGTGTATATCTATCTATATCTCTCTCTCTCTCTCTCTACATATAATTGTATATATACATGCATATATATATATATATTATGCCGCACTATCCCGTGGCCATGTAGATTTACAGTATCTGATAGGAATTAGGTCTTTCACTGTGCTTCTGGTTGGATGCATTTTGGGGAGATACACCACTTATATTTTGCGTCAACATGGATGTCACCCTGCCCCAGCCGGGCTGCAACTCCACAAGGGAAATCACAAGCCATCAAATGGCGCGTAGGGGTTATACAAAGGGTTGTGCTACTGTATTAGACTATATGTTACATTCTATTCTAATCTAGACCGATAAATATATAATATTTTGCTGTATTAAATAATATTATATATATATAGTTATGTTAACCACCTACCATCATCTACCATCATTTACCATCACCTACTATGACTATCACCTACTATCACCTACTATTAGACTATCACCTACTATCACCTACTATCACCTACTATCACCTACTATCACCTACCATCACCTACTATGACACACAGTACAAGATTGAATTGGAGAGGTTACATGGCCTTCTATTATATACACCAGAATTGCCACCTGAATGCATCCCCGAACCGACCTTAGGTATCTTGGGTCCGAGAGACTGTCATAGGACACCGGGCTATGACGTGCACTCTTATAGTCGGCATAGCTCATGATGCGCATGGTCAGTTCCTGGGAACCCGCGGCTGTGTCACTTACAGACTATCTAAACGAAGATGGTGAAGGGGTAAAGAAGAGGAGGGTGATCTTTGCGATATTTTACTGGTGGTTGATTCTGCCGGTGGTTCACCACCCTGAAACAAAATTTGAGAAGCAACACAGCAGGCACCGGTTTTTCAGGCGAACCGACTCACCACACTCATCCCCACTCCATGGTGCTGGCACACCAACATTTGCCCAACATGGCAACCCCCCCAAAAAAAAACAGCCGGTAATGAGGGCAAATATACCAGCAGCCTGGAGCATATGAAATCATCATTCAAGCTGAGATACCACTTGTTTTGAGAATGGAGACGTGTAAAATTGCATATATATATATATGATATAGCACATATATGCAGATATACAAATATGATCAAATATGTATATAGCCAAATGAGGTCAGTCACCCGAAAAGCCGAACTCATTGCTCATTCACACCAGGTCTCCGTGGGAATCTTCCGGGTTTGCAGGAAGATTCGCAGTTCTCGTCGTTTTTTGCTCCGCTCGCTGTTCACCTACCAGTGGCCAGGATGATTCTCATGACGTGTGCTTGTTGAATATTCACTTTTGTCATCTAGAGTGGATGTCCCGGACTCAAAACAAACAAATGTATTTTGGGTACCCGTTGTCAACTTGGTTGTGCAATAAAATGATGACGTAAGCATCTTGCCGTTGTTTCAAACATTGGTGACCCTCAGTAGTGCTGTAGATATTTGAACCATCCCTCTCGAGGTCTCTCCAAAATATCTATTACATTATATTTCCAACTGCAAAGAGGGCATGCCCGTTTTTATTTGGTCTATAAGCCATCAAACTATATAGATACATCCCCTTGAGCCCTAATGAATTGTAGTATACATGTGTATGTATATATATATATACACATGCTTCAATTATGAATATAAATACATATGTAATTATACATTTATTAAATATATGTATAAATATAAATACACATATTTATGTATAGCAATTACATATATAATTACACATTTATACATATTGGCTATTGATATCCCGATAATGAGTCATAGCATGGTCATTTTTAGAGTCCCACTTCACACACTTCGGTCCCACCTGGTGAATCTGATTCAAGGTTCCCGTCAAGATGGACAGGGCCGAACCGATCACCAAGACCGTAATGATCTGCGGAGCGACATAACTGATGAAGTCTTCACTTCTACTGATTGTTTGTATAGTAAAAATAAATAACCAGTCATACAATGCGTATGTATATATATATATGTAACTATGATGAACCACTGCTGGTATGTATGTATATATATATAACATATACATACTGTATATATATTTAACTATGTACGTAAAGCCTCGATGTTTATTTGATTGGAACGGCTGCTCAATACAGTCACATGTATCACATATATATATATATACATATGGACATATATAATATAACATAATAACGGACCCCAAATGAATAGATCCAGCACAATACCACCGGTACTTCTAGGACTTCTTTTGGACAGGAAGGGTTGAGATCAAGAAATGGTGTGAACTGTGCTGATTTCATCTATTCTAATCCCATCCTCCCGATTGAAAACATGATATCAGCCATATGGACCCCCAAAAAAGAACAAATCCAGTATTACACCGAATAATCCAGGGGCTATTTAAATGTGTCCTAATATGTGGGGAATGGGCTGCTCCACCGGCTGCACCAAGGTGTCCAAGGTGCAAAGAACATCAGGGCGCCCAAGCGTTCGTAGCGGCTATCAGCTTCGATAAGTGGAGGTGCTGGGGGCAAGAGTATCCAGGTGGCTGCATGCACCTGGAGAAGCAGAAAGCCATGGGTTACCCTTGGTACACTGAAGCAAGTCTAGGAGTGGCCGGGCGCCTCTTGGGTCAGCTATACCATCAAGCCAATAGGACAAAACACCCAAGGAGAAACTGAAAAACATATTCTAAAATGGTGGTTCCTCAGTTCCCAACCTCCAATACAATACCATGTTCAAACATGTCCAACCATAGAACATCAAGGAACATCATAGATTCATGGTGCTTATGGATTTCCAAAACCAATCCTGATGTTTCAACAAGGACCTGCAACAGTCTCGTTTGCACTGAACCCAAACTTCTGTCGGATTCTAACTTTTGGCGCCTAACCCTCCTGCAAATGATTCTTATATATGAGTACCCACTTAACCAATAAGCCTACAAAAATCATGCCTTTGGTTAAATCATCTCAAAACTCTATGGGTTTAACCAAAATCTCACCTGATTTTTTCCGTGGCTCTCCCTCCAAAATCCCAGAGCCACGGCACATACTGCAGACCCAGGTCTAGCTCAGAGACTCCGGCAAGATCCAGCCAGCTGCGCTGTCCGGTGCCCTGAGGTCCACCGTAGGGATTTTATGAGTTTCTTTAGGGATTTGGATGGAGATTTCATAGGGATTGGAGACTTTTCATGAGATTTCATGAGATTTTTTGGGATGCATATAGAATAAATAAAAGATGGCTGGAAAAATCCTTGAACTAAATGGGTTGTCCATTGCTATGTTTGATTACCGGGGGTTGCTCTGGATGATTTTTGGAATGTCTTTTGGGATGATTCTGGGAATAATTTGTGGGATGGGGATGTGTTGTGGGATTCTTTGTTCGATGATTTCTTGGATGATTGTGCGGATGATTTGTTGGATATGTGTTTTGGGCGTTATGTTACTTTGGATGATTTTGTGGATGTGTTTCTGGTTATCATCATAATTATTACAGTATGATGATCATTATTATGTGGATAACTTTGTGAATGAGTGTTTGGAATATTTTTTCGGGTGCTTTGGATGATTTTGTTGATTTGTGTTTTCGTATTTTTGTTTGGGATGCTTGTGTTTCTTGCATATATATACATATATATTTATTCTGTGGGGATTGTTTTCATGGATTTCCCCTGTTTTTTCTTTCCTTGGATGATTATGATTATGAATTTTAAATGAATTTGGCTTGTTTTTGAGTTTGGATTTGTTGGAAGGTTTCCCATTCGTCACTTCGTCGTACAAGTTTCTTTCTTGCCGAAACAGAGACATTCCGTGGTTTGCACATGTTTGCACCCCAAAACTGCTTGGGATCCTCAAGCATATCGGGAAACATTTTTCCAAGATGTCCAAATCAACTCAACCGAATCATCTCAAACTTCCAATTGTTCTACATCATTTATCTTAATTTTGCAACAGTTTGCAATATCAATATGTATATATATATATATTACTGTTTTATTAGTTTTATTTAGTTGATATACCTTGGCATCCAAAACTCCGCCCTGAATCCCCAAGATATCGGATATTGAACCCAAGACTGTGGATTGAAGCCAAAGGTCCCCTTGTGTTCTGAACAAATCTTTACCAACAATGCAGCGGTAATCATGTAACATAAGCGATTAATATGTGTTCTCAAAACTAGGGTCCCTCTCTTCATCAGTGGCAAAACCCCTGACCAAACTGACCACAGCTTACATGATTACATTTGCGCACCTAACGAATTTGGAAACAACGACTTCTACATCTTCTACCCTCTGGATCCCTCTGGTAGTTTAACATAGTTATTGAGCATGGCCATTTATGGATAATTTACCTATCAAAACCTGTGGTTTTCCATAGTTGCATGGGTTCGTCTGAAACTATGGGATAGATCAACAAGAGTCGCCGTTTTGAGAGGGAACATCATGACAATCCATGAGAATCCATTGAAATGGGAGGTACTCTATTTTCAGACACACTCATGTCAGTTTGAAGCTACTTCAACTAATTCCATAGTGCCAAGATGGGCCAAGTTTCAGAGACATATTTGCCCACGCCAAACCAGATACAGGAGAGAATGTGCGTCACCATACCAATGGTCACCAGCATCTTGCACATGGTGAAGGCTGGCGGAAGAAGATGGAAGGAACTTGACCTTTCTTGGGCTAATGATGGCTAATGCACTGTAGTTGGTCCAGTAGGATCTGGTGCTTTCAATCTTCACTGGCTTGATTTATGGAAAACATACATGACACCATAGCTCTTACTGCTCTTACTCCAAATAGGGCTAGGGGTCTCCTGTACTTCGTCAATAAGTGGAGGGTCATCATCCCAGGCTAGACGGCTAAACGATGATTGACCCTGAAAGGGATGTGATTTCATCCGAGATAAAACACTACAAGAAACTCCTTGTTTACAAACTGTAGGCGCTCAAACTTCCCACAAACCAGGCATTGCCGCCACTGGTCAATTGGAAAAGTCAAGCCTCATCAATACACATGCTAGGACATAGATAGTGATGAATCTAGGGATGTTCCCGGTGGCCACCCCTAATTTTCCCGGGCCACTTGCACACTGCTTTATGTGGCCCTCCCGCCTAGGATCAGCCACTGCCTTCCCATAGAAATCCTGGGAAGGAGCAAGGCTAACAGGAAATGGTTCCAAACCATCCCAAAAGTAACACCCAAAGTGCCTTAAATCAGATGGAGTTACATAAGTTACCACCAATTCCAATGCTGTGTCATCACCATCTCCATTTGTCACGACCATATGTCATGTGTGGGGGTAAGCTCTATATATATATATAGGAATATATATATATATAGGAATATATTTATATATGATAAAACCGACTACCACATAAAATGTCCTGTGAGCAACACAAACTCAAACATGAATGAGAAAACAACATGTGAAATATTGACCTTCGATAAGAAAAAAGGTTCACCGGCTACGTACGATCTTTATATTTTCATTAAACACATATAAATAACGTTCTGAACTTGCAAAATAATCAACTCCAATAACTAACTTAAAAGTCCCTCCATAGATCCCCAGATAAGGATGAGTTGTGCACAGACTTTGTAGCTACAGCACAGGTAAGCACAGCATACCGGTATACAGAATGATATCCCATAACCTCCAGAATCTGTCTGGCTACAGGATGAAGCACCTAAGGGTAAATGCATTCAATATATCTTCAACTAAGGCTTCCCTGATTACTACAAATGAATAGTTGGTTCAATTCGAATGGTACAGATTGCTACAAACTGTGTTGAGCCATTTTTGGATCCATCTAAGGGCCCTGCGCATCCTTCACCGCTTTGCAGAGGTACCATTTCAACAAGATGAATGTACACTATGGTCTCAAGAAGCCATCTTAAGATGGCCTCAAGGCCACCCATTCTGTAGTTGAAATGCCAACGGGGATGCTCGTATTCAATTTGCTTTCGGAAACTACACTGGCTTATGCTCTATTTATATAATCAGAACATACCAGAACAATATACACATGCACGTATTGTTTCAACTTCAAACTAAGAGCGACCTTCTGTTGCTCGCACTTTCGATGCTTTACGGAAACTGATTATTTCAATATATTCTAGTATCAAACTATCAGATGAGATCTTCTGCCACTGGCACTGAACATGGGAAAAAAGGCATGAAACCGCGCGAAACAAGCTGCCTTCTTGACTTGTTTCTTTTTCTCTGCTTCCAGACGTTCCAATCCCAAGGCCCAAGGTAATTTTCACATATTTTTACCATGCTCTCAGACACTTTTTGTATATAATTGTCACCAGGGATCACCAAGTTCTCCATCATCACATTGATCTTTCCGGCCTTCAAAATCCGCAGGATTCTCAAGGTCCTCACGGCTTGGCCCCTGGAACCATGGAACCACTTAAAGGGGCTTATCCATCTGACCGCAGGGAAGAGAAACCACACAGTTTTCAAGTGTTCAGCGTTCAAAAACAAGCAAAGCTGTTCTGGGATGATCGTTGTACAAGCAGAAAACATGATGCCATAGGGGGGAAATCTTGTGGATTTGGGGCATTACTGCCCCCAAAATCCCGGTGTATGGGATCGACATACCAAGGGATTCAGCTATCCCCCCCCAGTTCTGCGAAATAGTTAGGATCTACCCATGAATTGTGGTTGTAGGTGCTTGTTGGCTACGATTCACCCCAAATATAGATAAAGCCAAAGATTATCATTATTGGAGTTGGAGTCCCAAACACCGGAAAAATCCCCAAAGTTCGTTCGATGTTTCTCCATCTTTTTACCATGACATCCATTTCGTTCCGGGATTTCCGGCGCCATGTTTCGCCACACCCAGCTTCCCCTACTGGCGACAGAATCACCGAGACACCGAAGGATACGCAGGTATCGTGCCGAGCGTAAGGGTTGAAGTATGTCATTGGATTCCCGGCCCAGCAGGGTCCTTAGGGATGATTTCCGGATCTTTCGGAGCGACATCTGGAAGATAGCAGTTCAACTATCGCCAGTTTTAGATTCAGAAATTGCTTAAATGGAAGAACTTCTGCTTTGATGGTTTGAGCCAGGAAACAAATAGCCAGTGGAGACTAAAAAGTAAACAAGAAATGAATTGATAGAGGCGCAGAAGTGGACATAAATAGACCAAAGATGGACATATAGATAAAACAAAGTGGATAAAAGGATAGATGGAACACATTCAATTTGATTGAGCTGGAGCCCTTGATGATTTACAGGTTTCGAAACTTGTGCATCATCAACTTCATGATCCAACACACATTTCCACCCCAAAATAGATGCAGAAAACGGCATCCGGTTCAAATTCAACAGAAATTAGGATTCTCATGGACTCCCTAACTGCAGGAAACGAAACCCTTAAGGAGTCCCAGAGAAGCAAAGACACCGGTTTCTTTAATTTCACACTGGTGTCAAAACATCACTAAGTAAATAATTATGATGAAAGCCTTTGTTTGTGGTTGAAACTTGCCAGATACATTAAATCCATGGAGCCATCCACCGAACCAAGTCTCATGAAGCTGGCTGAAAAGTCGATGAGCACCACAGTGATATCAAAGAGGAACCATGTCTTCCTCAGAGGGAAAAAAACAACAAAGGAGATCCGCCACTGCCACGAACAGCACCCTCTGGACGTCTCCAGAAGTACTAAAATGTACAGTACTGGTACTAAACCTTGCAATGCAAAACTTGATGAGATGTCTAGATTCATAGACGATTGACCTGTTGAAACTTGCGGTTTTCCATTGCCATGTTTGTTTGCCAGAACATGTTACAATCAAAGATTTCAACGTGCTTTATCATTGTCTATCTTTCAAGCGACTACGCTATGTGCACCTCGACCCTCAATATCACAGTACTGGAAATTATCACCAAATCTGGGATATTAGTTGATATTCTTTGGCCACTTTGCAGGCCGTCATATTGTCATATTCATTTTGTTAAGCCTTTCTTTTCCAAATCAATTGGTCAACAGGAATGGCTCAGATGCGTACAGTCGATACGTGGTCTAGAGTCTATAGATTTTGGGTGCCCCCATTGTCGCATAAAAAAAGACCACATTTTGGGGTATCCACCATTTTCAGATGAACATAGATGAACCTATATCACATGAATTCAAAGGATTTTTCAGTCAATCATCCTTACCGCTACCCGCTATCCGTCCTCGAAGCCAAGGAGCACATAGTTCCACGCAATGCTCGTGAGATCTGTGATTAGGTGGCCCTTTTGATGAAAAGCAGTGAAGAAGTTCAGGACCTCTGGGCTCATCGGCTGCAATTTTCGGAAAACCACTGGGACATCGCAACTGGGACCGTTCGAAAAAAAAACAACACGGAGAAGGAGCTCCATCAACAAATTGGAGAGTGACCATTGTTGGTGATTCAATGAAACAAATAGATGCACTATCCTGATCTATCCTGTAAATGTATGTGTATATAATTATATATATATGTATACACAGCAATTTAAAACTAGGTGCCAGAGGTACGCTTTCTATATCACTGGGGTTGGTAAGCCAATTGAGCTCAGCGACAATATCCGCTGGCCAAAAGGTCAACGACAAAATGGCAAAGGCTTGCAATGCGCCTGTCACAGGGTTGATGGACAGAAAGAAGGAAACTCAGTGACCTCCTGTGTCTGTTCTTGAAATCCGTGTCTTATTGCCAAAAATAACTGATTTACTATCTATATATTTATTTCATTGTGTGTTGTTTATCTCCGGACATGAATGATTTGATTTACTGTTAATTCTCCAGCCTGAAACAAGTTTTTCTCGAGCCTTGTCTTGTTACAGAACAACCCGCCACATGAACCCACCTCCACAAGCTATAGCTGGAACTGCTCCCAAGATGTGTCTTCCCCCGTTGCTCAATTTGGAGAGTTCCATGGGGGCGCCAGGCAATGGGGTTCCCCATCAACCACAAGCCCAAAAGAGATATATCCCCCAATTATTCTCCAATAACAACATGAAAGGAAACGGTCATCCATTTTATTTTCGGATTTTCCATGATTTTCCATGACACCAACCAGCTCTTGGGCCTTTCTCTGTGGCCCGCTCGGGAAAGGGCGTCAAATTAAGATCCCAGGCGATGCACAAGGGCAACCTGCTCAGGACCGTTGCAACAATAAGAAGGCCATACATTACAGTTGTGGCCCTGATATATGGGCCTTAAATGGGTCATTCATTTCATATGATATATATATATAACCCAATATAACCTCAGTGATAGGAGCTATAATCCCATTTATTGCTGTTAAGGGCCAAAACTGTAGGGCATACTATTACTAATAAGGTGTTCATGTGACATGACTTTCATGTACTTTCATGACCTATGATGTCTCACTTCAAACACAAATGGCTTTGGATGATTGTGCCACGGGCCACTATGAGCCACTGGTACCGTTTAAAAAGTAGCCAAAGCCACACATCTCATATGGTCTACATCAAATGCAAGCGAAATGGGACGTTTGCCCATCCTAGATAGTCATGGAGTCATTACCCTCTGGTAAACTAACTAACATAACTGTGGAAAATCATTTTTTTCATGGGTAAACCAACTATAAATGACCACTTTCAATAGCTATGTTAAATTACCAGAGGGTAATATACGGTAATGTACGTAAGCAAAACAAAACAACTTGTGGGAACTCAAATTGCCAGAAGATGACACATGTTAATTTCTAATGGGTTTGGAACATGGTCGCAGTCAGAGCCATGCCAAATATGTCCTCAGCCGACACGGATTTGGCACAAAATCCTTTGAAACCTGAATTCACTTGGCTATGGAACAAAAGCATATAGAACAATTTACCGCAGGTGAATATGAAAGCACCTAGTAAGCGAGGCAAGTGGATGTACATTCCCCTAAAAACTGCATTTACATGTATTGAGGAGTATGGATTCAAGGCCACTTTAGAGCCCAAAAACTGGGCCAACAGCTTTGGCATCACGATCGAACCGACAGAAATGGGAGATCATGGGATGCGCGCATGTGAAAACACATATGTCAATCAATGCTTAAAATTATACATCATAATTCAAAAGCCATTAAGGCAACAAAAAAATATACATCTATATACATCTAAAGATTGATCATAGTATATGATATATGCGTTTAAAGTTTAGTTTGAACAACAATTAAGGACTAATCACACCCGCATACACACAACCTCCCAATGACTTGTCTCACCCTTTGGAGCCACATTCCCCGGTTCTCATGCTTGGACACCTGCCTGGCCGGGAGATTCCAAATTTCTTACATGTAAATCATCTAATTACATAATCATGTTGTAATAGTCAGTTGAAAGCAATACACTAGAGTAATGCTAGTCTTGGTGGTTGATGAATTGTGTGCCACTTGCGCTGATTAATCACAATTTACCGGTCAAACTATGCCATTTCACGTTATTTTCGGAGTCATATGATAATTACTGTGCAAAAAAATGTGCCTTGCCCCATTTCAACATAAACATGTCCGCAAACATGGGACACTCACAACATTGCTGCTGCCCACCCCTATCCAACTTGTTGCGCGACCACTTGATGAAATGCGTTTAAAATTTGTCCTCGTGGCTACCACACACTTGATAAGGCTTGAGGACGTAAACCTAAAAGGAAGTTGAAATTGAAACCTTGTCATCGAACCGCGGAGCGAATCTCACGTCCCATGTTAGTGTTCGGGGCCACTTTCGGGGAAACATCAGGTCTCCAGCAATCCCCAACTAGCAGCGAGCAAATCAAACAACATAATTCATATGGATGGTACCCTATCTTCCTCATGTCTCTTCCATACTGAGGATTTCCTAATGTCCGAAGGGGAGAGCCATGAATTTAGATGGTTTTTGTATCTTTACTGAAGGGTATGTCTCAAGATGGTCTTATTCCATTATCTCCCCAATAATATCCCAAATAGGCTCCACGAAATGCTTTTATATCCAAAAACCATCCAATACCATCCATTGCTCCCTCAAAGCCATACAAATCCGGATGTCCCATTAGATGAAACCAGACAATCCACTACAGTATTGTTTGATCATGTTTAGATCATGTTTAGACAATGTTCAGATCATGTTTCGATCATCTTTAGATCATGTCCGAAAGGAAACACACATGGATTTTTCATATGCCTTCCGATAAAGAACCATGGCTTAAACCCTAAAATCAATGAACACATTAAAAGTTCGATGAATTTTCAAACGTTCCACGTGTTGCCCAGCATCCCAGGCCATACGAAATCGGCTATTTGGCAACACCTTGCAACCCTGTGACCAGTTCCTGAGCGATCGCTGAAATGTTGGGGTTGCATGGTAGTTCCATGGTTCATTATGTGCTAGACTATTGGTAAACCATATGGTTCTAACATGTTTTCACTAGTAACATCTAGTAACCATGATGAGTTAACCATAAGATTTAAGGTAAATTATTGTGGCTAGACCGTTTTTGCACGGGCAAATCAACTGTTTGGGAAAATAAACCACTTGGTTAAACCCAAGTTGATGACTTTTAGAACCATCAATATGGTATTTCAGGATGTGCCAAAAAATGCCACCCTGAATTGTTGTTTTTACCCTAGTACAACCCTGAGAACGGAAGGCCAAAACACGATAAATCATGACCGATTATGATCGTTTCAAGTACGGCCGTGGATTTTATGATCGTTTCTCAGCTCAGGGTGTCTAAAAAATTATATAGAGGAGAGGAACCCGCCCAAACTTGCCTGTTTTAGAGTTGAGTTTTAGTTGGTCATGAAAGGTTCCCCATGTTGTATCAAAGAATTTGGCTATTGTAAAAAACTATCTACTGGAGGTTTCAATGGTTTCAATTCAAAACAAAACGCATGTCTAGTATATACACTATGTTTCATCTCAAGCCAAGGCTAATATCCTATCACGTGTCGCAAATTATATACTGTCATGTTCATCCTTAATTTTGGGGAGGATATGGAAGGATATCTCAATTTCTGGTATGCTGTCATATTTGAATAGATAGTTGTTTTTTTTCCTATCTAGTCATATCCCAAGCCCCAAAAGCAAACACACAATATGCCATGATTTAAATATACATACGCAAATATGTATATATATATATGTGTGTGTTATTTCAATATATATATATATATTAATATATATATATGTTATTTCAATATATACATATATATATACAAAGTACATACTCATATGTGTATGTATATATATAAGTATATCCCATGTATGGTCGATTTACTACCCATCAAAGTGAGGAGGATTGAAAAAGTCACTGCCACCTCGCTGAGCGGCTCCTCCAACGCGCCTTTCACCGATCGCCTCTCCGTGCGCGGCTCGCCGTTACGCGCGGTGCGGTGAAAATCCCAAGGTTTCATGGGGGTCGAAGCATCAATAAAATCATCGAAACATTGGATAGTTCATGATGTTTGATGATATTTAATGATGTTTGATGATGTTTGATGATGTTTAATGAGGTTTAATGATGTTTGATGATGTTTGATTATTTTTAAAAAATGTTTAATGATGTTTAATGATGTTTAATGATGTTCGATGATGTTTGATGATGTTTAATGATGTTTAATGATGTTTGATGATGTTTGCTGACGTTTATTGAAGTTTATTGAGTTTTAATGATGTCTAATGAGGTTCAATGATGTTTAATGATGTTTATTGATGTTTAATGATGTTTATTGATGTTTAATGATGTTTGATGACGTTTTTTGAGGTTCAATGATGTTTAATAAGGTTTAATGATGTCTAATGATGTTCAATGATGTTTAATGACGTTTATTGAGGTTTAATGTTGTTTACTGATGTTTAATGATGTTTAATGTTGTTTAAATTGATGTTTAATTAATATTAATCAATATCATGAATATTTAAATGGGATTTATGATACGAGGATATAGTGATTCCGTAAATTATAGTAAAAGTATAGTAAATATAATTGATCTATATATATATGTAATCAACAATCAAATGAGGTTATAGTGAATCAATTGTATTTAATGGGTGGTATAGCGGACAAATGAAATGTGCATATGTATATGTGTATATATATATATATATATATTTATATCGCACACATATACATGTATATATATATACATATATATATATATACATATATAGCTTCTTCCAGAAAACAATGAAACAGAAACATATTCCCCACAAACTGCAAGTCTAAAAAATACATGCTCCCATTTCAGACAATCTCAATCAAACAATCCCATGCCCCTTCAAAATAAGAACCAAATTGGTGGTAAAACCCTGCCTAAATCCCAAATCTCCAAATTTGCAAGCTAAATCCCCATGAAATCCCGAGCCTGTATGGATACATGGTGCATGATGTTAAATGCACATTAAACCACATTTCAACTGATAATTTCCTCTATACTTCAGAGTTCCCAACCACACCACACCTCCGCCCTTCCATCACGGAGGGCTTCCAGTTGTCCTTGCCCACCACATCCACAGCTTCAGCTGCCTGGGGAGGAACTGGACCAGCAAAATTCCTCTGAGTCGGAGAAGTAAACATGATTCTCCCATTCTCCACCAGGAATTCCTGGAATTCACATCCAGGATCCAAAACATTCCCACTCCTAGATACGCAAAAAAGTATATAAATGTTCAACTGGTGAGTAATTATATTTCTATAGTCATATATATATATATATCAACATTTGCCCAAAAGGATTGCGTAGTACTAAACTGCTCATCCTCGCTTGTTTCCCATGTATATATATACAATTATAGATATATATATATATAAAATTATATAATTATATATACATTTATATATATAATTATATATATATATATATATAGTAACAACACAACAAAACACAGGACGCACCTGTGAAGGCTTGGCTACCCTTGCATTCAGATTCACCATGATTTAAGCTGGTAAACCCAAGGCCAGCTTACCATCCCAGCAACCATGACTGGGGATGCAATTTTGTTCGCAAGTAGGTGCCCGAAAATCAACCCCAATTGAGGATGGTTTATTGTGGCCGCCCCTGGCATCGATATGCGAGGAACCTTCTGCGAGAGCTCCATCATGTGCCAGTTCAAACCTCGTCTTCGTAGATGGTCCGACTTCTGGGGAGATAATTCATGAAGTAGAATTTCATAATGATAAGTAAATTGATAATGAGATATAATGAGAGTAAACCTGTAGAATTCTACAGGTACAGCAACTACATCATGAGTGGGAACATGTCTTTAACTCTGGATATACGGTGTCAAATACACTATATCTTAAGCAAATTTTGCGTAGATTTCCTATTTCTGCTGGACTGATTCATTGCTAAACAACTGGTGGATTTCCTGAGAACTGATCAGCTCCAAGAAGGCAAGAGATCCTCGTTAAATGCACCATTTTCATCCATTTTCCCCAGTTAAACCATGTTATAAATCAAGTTTAAATCATTGAAATTCTCATGGTAAATCAAATTTCAACCATGTTAAATTCTCATGGTAAATCAAGTTTAAATCATTGAAATTCTCATGGTAAATCACCCAAGAAACGCTTATTCAAGCGAGCACTGGAGCCCCCTTCGCTGCTCTGCAAAATCAACGCCTGGTGGAGGTGCACCATACACAGCGGCTTCAAAGTCATCCAACACACATGGCCAATGGACAAAAGCAAATCTGGGACTGAAATTAATACGTTCTTTTTCTGGAAACTTCTGGATCTTTCAAATTCTACGTTTCTATTTAACTATAAACTTTAGATATTTTACATGAGATCAAAACAGGTTCAATATTATTCAACTATGAATCCAAATGTGGCACTGTGAAACCCTGGTTGCATGAAAAGCGAGTATTGGGACGGGGGATCCATCATTGCATCATTAAGGGGAACTAAAGATGGCATAGACAATAAAACAATTGAACGGCTGTGTCTAAAAATGGGATGCACGAAAATCCCATGGTTCAAATAAGTTCAAACTCAAGACCCTTTTCCGGATGAGAATTGCCGTATTTTGTGGTGCCCCCAATTTTCACACACATCTCGGTCACACATGACCTCTAAGATCTGCACTTGTGGGGTCTTAGCAAAGTGGCAGTACCATGCAGTACCTACATATGCGAAGTTGGTGCTGTTCATCCCATGAGAAGAAAAACAAACCTATCGTGGCTGTCACTGAGCGGCCAAACAATGCATCCAAATTAGACCATTTTTGGTATAACCTACTGTGACTTGGGGATCTCCAGTCTAGGACCCCCCCCCCCTATGGATCATATCCCAACTATCCAGGTCGTGTTATACATGTCATGTATTATCCAAGTAAGCTCATATCCAACCGATCATAAATTAAAGATTATTGGATTCGATGGTCACATGATCCATATACCATCACAATTATCATCCAATATGTATATATATATATAGGTATTCCAGGTTAAAAAAAAACATATCCTTAATTATCCTGATATGTGTTTTTCGATTGTAAGTGGGTATTTGACCATTTTTTTCCGATCCATGATGTCCGCCTCTTCCGTCAGCGGCACGTCTTGCCCGGTGATCGCCAGCAGGTCCTCCATGGATGAAACCCACGGATTGATTTGATATTTCACTGACAAAATATGGGTCTTTTAATGGTGTGAATATTAATGTTATATCAATGTTAATGGGATTTTACCGAGAAAAAATCATGGATGTCTTACAAGTTTTTTTAACATCCAAACATATATATATATATAAATATATTACGCATGATTTCACCAGCAAAGAGCCGGATTTGACCCTGTTATACATGAAATTCAACCGCTTTCTCCACTGGCATTATTTGGCTCTCACACCGAAGGTATTGAACTGTGCTGGTCATTTATGGGTCATCTTCCCCCTTAGGTGGTTGAACGATTAAACAACACATGCGGAGATGAAACAAACAAAAGCCTGGATTTGTATTACTGTCAAATATATTGACCTTCTTGTAGTCAAATATGGTATATGGTAAATCAGCCATCTATAGATTAATTTTCCCATAAAGAAAATCAGGTATATATATATATATATCATACAATATATTAATATACATTTAAAAATATATAATATATACTATATATATATATTGGATTTTTAAGTACCAAGATTGATTATATACCAAATGTGATTCAATCATTGAAAATCATATAATAATGAGAGTTTTGCTGTTGGTCAACGGTCCATGGGCATGTCATGGCCACCCGGCCAGCCCGCCGAACCTCATGGGACAGCTGCCATAGCTCCGTATGCTCGGCATCTGGCGTGGAACCGGTGGAGGCATCCCATAATAATATATATATATATATAAAATATTATATATTTTTTTATAATCCCATATGTTCCCATCTCATCCCATGATTTATCTGGGTAACTTATAGGTCTTATAGTAATTCAAATAACCTAAAATAAGAATAAGATAGATAAAAATCAAATAAGACCTATTGGGGGGTAGTTGGCCCATGTTGGCCCTATTCATCATCCCACACACATCAACATCAACATCAACTGGGTCCCGAGTTTCGCCTCTGTGGATCTGTTGCAAGGTAGCTATCTGCTTCTGGATACCTGGGCCCACTGGGATGCTGTGATGTCATTCGGTATACGTGGGTCCCCACAAAACAGAAACATCTACCCGGTTTTTTAACATAGCCATGGAAAATCACAATTTTTAATAGGTAAACCATCTATAAATGGGCCATTTTCCATGGCTATGTTAAATAACCAGAGGGTAGATCATCCAACACTCATGGTTTGAACAGGGAATACTACTGTGGATGGAAGAAATCCTGGTAGGAGGAAGGGGCAAAGCATATCAAATATGCACCCTCGGGCACACTTGAGCTTGAGCCCATGGTTTGTCCTCTCATAAACCCCCCAAATTTATCAAAATTTGACACTAAGAACCAAACAAAATATTCGACTCCATCTGATATCACCTTCCAAAAGCAAATTTCTGGGATGACGTGGTTACACAAATAGCTTGATAATATTTCTGTGTGCTTCAATACCCCTCAATTGGTCTTGCTTAGACATATTCCCAGTGCTTCGCCCAGCAGCCGTCGAAGGCACGTTTCACCTAGCATCAAACAAAAATGGGTTTTCCCGCACCCCCCTTGTATCAACGGTGGGGCACAAGGGATTGATTCACCAAAAATTGAGATTCTCAGTTGCACTGCTTGTTTTGTTTGCTTGTTTGCTGGTTTGCTTGATTGATTCGGGTTTAAACATAGAAGAACATCGTATGAAACAAATTGATACAAATTGATGGGTGTATATCAAAGGGGTGCCCGTGATGTATGATTCTCTGTCTCCCCGATATTAAACATAATTGTTATTATTATGTTTTCAAATATTCAAATTTCTATGTTCTCTCCTATCTTGTGCCTACAACATCCTCAATAATCAGGCCACCATCAACACACGCACGACGATTGCGAATGGACCGGTGGTCATCATCAATCATTGCTAATCATTGTAAGAGCATTGGAAGCTATTATATGTTTTTTCCCCACCTGCCAGGTGAGGGTTGTTAGATTTTATCGGAGTTGTTCTCCTCCTCCTCCTCCTCGGCTAGCTCGTCCTCCTGCTCCTCCTGCTCCTCCTCCGCCTCCTCCTCCAGTTTCTCCTTGATCGTTTCTCCTCGATCATGCCTGCATCAACTTTCGCCTTGCCAACTCTTCGCCAAGCTCTTCGCCAACTTCCGAGCTCAGTGCGCGCTGGGGACCTTCCCAGCTCAGTGGGCACCGCTGGACCTCAACCTGGGACCTTCCCAGCTCAGTGGGCACCGCTGGACCTCAACCTGGGACCTGCCCAGCTCAGCGTGCACCGCTGGACCTCAACCTGGGACCTTCCCAGCTCAGTGTGCACTGCTGGACCTCAACCTGGGACCTGCCCAGCTCAGTGTGCACCGCTGGACCTCAACGGCCAGATAGAATGCCAGAAGATTTGCCAGATAGAATGCCAAAAGATATGTCAGATAGAATGCCAGAAGATATGCCAGATAATATGCTAGAAGATATGCCAGATAGAATGCCAGAAGATATGCCAGAAGATATGCCAGGTAGAATGCCAGAAGATATGCCAGATAAAATGCCAGAAGATATGCCAGATAGAATGCCAAAAGATATGTCAGATAGAATGCCAGAAGATATGCCAGATAATATGCTAGAAGATATGCCAGATAGAATGCCAGATAGAATGCCAGAAGATTTGCCAGATAGAATGCCAGATAGGATGTCAGAAGATATGCCAGAAGATATGCCATATAGAATGCCAGATAGAATGCCAGAAGATATGCCAGATAGAATGCCAGATCGAATGCCAGAAGATATGTCAGATAGAATACCAGAAGATTTGCCAGTAACAAAACGTATAAATATCATGGTGGGGATGACTCGAAGTAAAGTAAGTTTAACTATTGAGCAGCAACATTAATCAGCATTAATGTTTACAAACAAACAATAACAATTAAACCACTAATATCTTGACGGTTTATAGCAAGCACCAATAGTAAATTTAGGGATGGTTTACTATTGCTTTACCAGACACGCCTCAAGGTCAAGACTTTGCAAGGCTTCCGCCAAATCGGGGCTCATGGGCGTCTCGACGGCCATGGACGCGGCAGAAGAACCGGTGTGGAGCAAAGGTGCGATATCTGATGGTTTTTTGGTATAGGGATTCGTACTGATTAATAATGGTTTATCATGATTAACAATGATTTATGATTGATTTCATAACGTTGGTATGATCCTGGTTTGGATGAGTTTTCAATAGGGCTTCCCTGCCCCCGGATCGCAATAATCACAAAAAATCCAACTATATTGGTTAGTTTTCGACCCCGCCTTTAAAGAATCAACAAGGGTCAACTGAACACTGCTCATCTTTCTGCCATCTTTCTACAGATCGATGCTGGAAATAACGAACACGGTTTTATCTACGAAACTATTCTTCTGCATCTTCATTCCGATGTCCTCCAAATAGCATACATGAGTCAAAGCCTTGCCCAAAACCACAAAGTTTGTAATTGCGAAGCAGCACCTATTCACATCTAGCCCGTTTTGAGGGTCTCTCACCCAAATGTCGCTGTCATTTTCCATGGCAACTCATTCGCCTGGCCCCAGGCTAGCCAAGACCGCGAGGACTCTGATTTCCCATCGATTTGCTCAAGAAATGCATAGGGGGGTCCTGCACGTGTTCCCTTACAGGCAAGCTGGCATGATACATGCGCCACAGGGCTAGATACCCAGCCACAAGATGTGATATCTGTTGGTTGGCTAGCTATCTTCATATTGATCGCCAAAAACCAACCTGCAAACCACCAAAGTTAACCCAGGATATATCAGGTTAAAGTTGTGTGCCTTTGACCTGTGAAAGGCTGAAATCATAGCATATCATAGCCCCATGCCCATTTAGCAGAAAGGGCACAGCTCATGATACTTCATCGGAATTTCATTGCTGGTCTCAAGAAATCTTAAATTCACTTCTGCTAAGCCACCCCTCCAAAAAAAGAAAACAAGTCAAGTCCATCTTGTGGAACACCCACCATTTGTAGATCATTTTCCGAGGCTTTCCCCATGGGTGTTCCACATCGGCTAGACAGCCATGGCTGGGATCATCCCCCCGGACACCGGCCATTTTGGCCACCAAATTGACAAGCTAGGCGTGGCTTATTGATTTATAAAGCTCTATATATTACACATTAAAAAAAATATATATATATATATATATATATCATCAGTGATAATCAACTAAGTAGGTATATGACCACTATGTTTTCTTTTTCCCATCAGCACTTTCCGCACCGTGTGCTTTTTTCAGCACCGGCACCGCGACGCCCCGCAACTCCCCTTGCGCCACCAGGGCGTTACGACTCTGCCGCAGCGGCAGCTCCGTTGCAGCGAGCAACGCGGCAGAGCGGCGCCAGTGCTGAGCACCCAGGGCTTGGAGGGCGGAGTTGAGGCTGATGGCATCGCTGGCATCGCTGGCATCGCTGGCATCGCCTGACTAAAAGGATTCCAAGGGGCTGGCGGAATACGTCGTTGTCGTTATGCTATGCTATAGCTTATATAACTCCAATCATTTCGTTTTATGGGATATCTATATATATATATATAGTTAGTGGGGGTTATAAAGCAACTCATAACTTAACTGGGGGGACCAGTTGTGAATAATGCCGGCTGCATTTTAACATTTCGCTGTGGGTGGAGCATTGGTGAGTCTGAAAATCGCCAATTTCGTAGGGAAAATGATTGTCAAAGAATTGCGCCCGGTCAATTATTATAGAAATTACTTCCCAGTTCCAAGTGGGATGCATGCATATCATGCACAACATATCTAAATTGGACGAACCTAGCCAGGAGCCTCGTGAGAGTTATGGTTCTCACAGTAAGCACCTGCTAGTTCATCCAAGTAATCCCCTCCCCTAATATTGTATATACAGTAAATACCACCTAATCCACCTATATAGTTGGTCCCAAAAGGAAGAGATCCGATAAAAAAAAAGGTTCGACAGGGTATTTATTCTCAGGGGGGGCATGGTCATTATGGTTGGACAATTTGTTCTAATTTTACTTGCCAGAATTGGGACGGTGATGGTAGAGTCATAGTGTCATAAAGATTCATAAAGTAAATTTATAAATTTATAACTGGTTGGTGGTTGAGCCACCCCTCTGAAATATGACGAATCGTCAGTTGGGATGATGACATTCCCAATATATCGAAAGTCATAATCCAGCCATGTTCCAAACCACCAACCAGGATATATATATATATATATATGTTTGTATCTAACATAACCATGGAACATCACATTTTCTTATGGGTAAATCCACTATAAATGACCAGTCATAAGATTTGATGATTCAATGGCTGTCCTATCGCGCAAGTCCCTAGTAGGCCCTAGTTAACTTGATCATCCCAGAAAGGACTTTCGCCACGCTGATGACATGTGTGACAAAAAGGTGTCCCTGGTGTCATCATAACATACCAGGTCATATATAAACAATATCTACATCAAACACAAACTATATGGATTTCTCATCATTTTTATCAATTTATCAATTTTCCATGTTCGTATATGGAAAACATATGCCCACTCTCATTATCCCCTACCTCCGGTGAATCAACAGTTCGACAGTTCGGCCCTGGCATTTATCGGGCTTTGTAAGATGTAGTTTCCACTCAAAATGGCCATATAACAATTATGTTCAGGGTCCAACTGTTAATTTACCAACGGGTATCATTATAGAGTTTCAGTAGTATAAATGCTATAAATGATCCAATGTTCACGGGCTTTTCCCTTAATCCCTTCCCCCTTTTGATGACTTAAACGCCCCCTCAATGTTGACCGCCTGCGGGTTCAGCCAGCAGTTCCAAGCTCATCCGCCACCTGGCCCCAAGTCTGGTAACGGGAAACAACGATCCGGGGACCATCACTGGGGGATCATGGTTTAATGGGGTTTAATGCATGTTCTAATTGGATTTCATCATCTACAAATGCTAGTTTTATTGGATTTAAGCATCAACAATGGTGAGTCCAAGCGATCTACCTGGGAATCAAAGATGGCACTGGGAAATCCTCTTTTCCAATGATGGTTTAATGTATAAATAAATCGATCATGGGTGGTTTTTTGCCATGTTTGACCAGAGGGCAATCATCAGTGAGAATGAACATCATGGTGGTTTCGTCTTCTTTGAAAAAAAAAAGGGCCAGACCGGGCCAGACCACGCTTGCTGACAATACACCCCTCCCCCCAAAAAAGGGTGGGGATTGCCAGGTCCTCCCGGCAATGGAACAAATCGAGCCACCAACAAACAAATTATATTGCATAAAGATGATCCTATGCGAATGGTGGCAAATAATTAAATTGCTTCCCACAGGTTTCAAGTACCATGTAAGATCCTTCAAATGTGTCTCAACAATGTGTGCACGCCTAAACAGCAAGTTTATGGTCTCCAGCTCTCCACCTACCAGGGGGTGCTGCAATCGGCTACGACAAACAACCGGTTGCCAAGTGACATCCGTGCCGCCTGTAGCGATGCTAACATCACGTTCAATGCATCGGGGCCTGGAGTAACTGGAACTTCACTGGGTTGATTCAAGCGACATCTTGCCCCAAACAGCACATTAGCAACACATTAGCAACACATTAATTGCCATTTGAAAACACTGGAGAAGCATCACTTCACCCTCAGACTTGTTCTGGTGCCTTTATATATGGAAAGCAAACTGAGGGAATTTTGGTGCTGGCAAATCCATGCATGGAGGATACCGGATCAGGGACTATTCCCATGTCTAAGAGTCTACAGGGATGCCCCAAAACAACTAGCCCAATCCTCCAGACTTGTTTCTCCCACTTCTGGCCTTTCAAACCATAGACCACCCCAAAACAATCTGCAAAATTGATCAACATTGCCTATTACCAATGGGAAAACCCATAGTTTGAGGCAAGTACCCACATTTAGGAACCCACCAAAACCAATGGTTTGGGGTACCCACGCTTTACGGACCCCAACCCCAGCCTCCCCATCCATCGCCACCCAGCTGACGCCAGGTATACCGCGGCGCCAACGCCGCCGCCCACCGTGACAGCTCCAAGGCCACCAGCCGCGACACGTCGTCCTGGCGGAGGCTGCGAAGCTGCAGCTGCTGCAGCAGGGAGCTGCCACAGTGCCAGGCGGCCTAGCGGAGCGAGAAATGTGGAGCATCTCTCGGTAAAATATTTTTTGAAACACGTTTTGATAATGATAGGAAATAGTATTGGAAATGAGAAGTTGTTAGTTGAAACAGGTTGGACAATTAACTGGGAATTGTATTGGGAAGCAAAAGCTTTGCTACTGGGGAATTCAGGGGCGAAAATTGGAAAATTAAGCCGTCAAGAATATTATTTCACCAAGTTGGGTATTACCACGTGTTACCTCCAATTTTTTGCAGTGTCAATTGAGTTTGCAAATAAGGATTGGGAAACGTGTGCTGTTGATCTCTTGCACCGTGGGTGCCCGTATCCTATACTGCCATCCCTTTTGCATCCAGGACCTTCTGACACACGTGGGCCACGGCATTGAACATGGCGACATCTCCCTGCACCGCGACAGCGAACATCTTCTCTAAGAGTGACAAAGATCGAGGCCATTCACCGAGCTCCTCTGAGGCAGGACATCCTGCGATGTCATGTTCTCATATGTTGCCCCATGTTGGGAAGGGGTTTGACGGTTTGACACATGAAGATAAATAAACAACCACATATACACACACACACCGATACATCCATCTTTAACTTTATATTATATCGATCATCATGGAACAACATCAGCTTGCAAGTCTAAAGGGCGTGTTCTGTTCACTGCCTTTGGAACCCAAATCATGGTTGAACGGTCGATTCTGGCTGATGAAGCATTGGCTTGGCACACTCTGCAACCAACCCCTCAATGGCAACTCTAACTATATACTAAACTTCACCTTTCAATATCTTAGTTCCCCCCTCATGTCAACCACTAGTACAGCACCCACCACATCACCAGTGGCTACAAGTCCTACATAACATGGCATCCTCAACTCATGCCCGGTCTTCCCTCCACATTCTCCTCCAAGGTAGTGGCGCAGGAGCTATATGTTATCACATCCGCTGCCATGTTGTTCAACAGTTGCAGTGAGCGAGGCCAGGAAGCTGTTGCCAAGATTGAATTCATAGCAGAAAGCTCCACCTGAGCGCATGAATCTAATGATGCACAACATTCATCCAGAAGCCGATCAACAGTTTCAATTCAAATCAAAAATACACCCACTGGGCCCAAAATGAATGCAAATCAAATTTAAAACTAAGGTCTTGAAGGGTACATGATATCAAGGGGATTTGATGGGGTAAATCCAACGAATCCTGGTTTTGTGATCAACACTTGGTATAATAGATATACCCTCTGGTAAAATAACATAGCTATGGAAAATGGCCATTTATAGTGGATTTACCCATTAAAAATTGTGATTTTCCATAATTAGTTTACCAGAGGGTATATGTTTTAACAAGCCTAGCGCGACCCCAGCACATGCCAAGGCACATCAACAGCTGCAAGTCGTTGCACTTCCATAATGGCCTCAATGATCCCCAAAGCTTCAGAACCCAAAAGCATGGCCTGTCCAGTGGCAACATTTTCGTCCAGAACCTATTTCCCGAGTGTTACGTTTTTGTTTTACAGGAGGCTATCCAAAAAAAACAATGGAACGAGTGATGGGTAGTACTCAAATTAACTTTGTGTAGATTGGGACACTGAAATGTTGCGTCCCTATGCACATCCAGGATCATCCAGGGCATCCAAGGTAGAGGTGTCAGGCTCTCTGAAGATAAGGGGTGAGCAGCGTTGGGACCATGGATCGCCCGGATCACCCCTTACTCAAAGCTGCGAGTTGGTAAGCCCAAGCTGTAGAAGTTGCAGAAACGAAATGGAGCACATTGTAGCTCCTGATGTGTCAATGATGTCGCTTTTGTTTTTCACATTTTTTCACTAACCATTTAAAAAAGGATGCCATTGTTTGTATTCTCCAAAGATTTTTTTTTTTAGTGTTCCAGTTCCTGCAATGGTTCCTGTCAATCAAATTCGAAGGACAGATTTGTTACGTAGTGGGACCGTGGTTTTCAGGGTAATGTGGACTGTGCTTCATAAACATGACCAGCAAGAAGGCGAACTTGAACAATCCAACTGCTGAAGAAAAAGAACAACACACAAACTATCGTACATTCTGGTGGGGCTGCGCTCTTTTCCAACATCCAACTTTGAATTTCCGAATTGTAGCTTTCCGAAATGCTGCATGTGCGGAATATGTGTCACCATTTACAACACATCCGAACACACGGTAAACATAGGATACGTGCTGATCGGTCTATTTGGAGTCTATCAATTTGATTTAATTTATGTATATGATAGTTTCAAATAGTTTCTATATCCATAACTACACACCATAAACGGTTTCTACGTTTGCTTGTGAGATCTCCATGGTGTTGCTTCGCCCACCATGATTGATGATCAAACCCCAAGATCTACCCAGTTCATGTGCCATCTCTATGTCTATATCCATTTTTTTGATTAAACCATGTTATAGATAGACATAGATTAAATTAAACCATTTTTTTGATGATTAAATCCGTATTGTTGGTCTGTATCTCTTTTCCCCATTACATCCCATTCATGTACCCTTTGATATCCCCATTCTCGCTTCCCATTCTTGTTGGTTAAATCTCCAGTCCATCAGATTCCCCATCTCCCAGTACTTTCTGGTAGCTATGGGTTTTACTCCATAACTATACATTCACATTGTATCCCGATTGACTTTTCATATATATATATATAGATATATAGATCCCTATAAATCTTGCACTTCTGCTAATGTCCATAGCAACCCCCAAAAAGATTGAACCGCGTTTCGATCATGTCAATGATGATAGTTACTTCATAGTTTACCACTTGTCTGTCACGTTTCTATCTTTTTGGGGGTTACTATAACCCACCCAGACAGCCCCAGTCCTGGCTGTGAGTTCCAGGCCTCACTTTGGATGGGCGGGGCACCGGAATGGCAGTTAAAAATTACACATCATATATCTATATACATGTATACACATAATTATGTGATATACATATATACATATATATATATATATATGAGTTCTTAAAAAAAAAACGCTGTTCTTACATATTGTTGCGTTGTATGATATTATATGATATTATATAATTACTATATATATATATATATGGACGGACTGAAACTTAGAATGTCCCGGTTTTCCCAAAATTTTTGACCCAGAAGATAGAACCTGACCCATTTCGGGGGGGTTTTGGGAGCAACTTAGAATCACCCGTCATGATTTCTCTATATTTTGGGGAGTGTGGTTCTAAGTTTCAGTCCGTCAACACCAAAACTAGTCAATTTTCCCCATTTTTTGGATTCCAGGAGTTGAGAAAACACATGTCAACACCAAAACTAGTCAATTTTCCCCATTTTTCGGATTCCAGGAGTTATATATATATATATAAATATGTATATTTGTACATATGTATATTACATGATTTTGCTACATTTGGAGAGTAGTGGTTCTAAGTTTCAGTCCGTCAACACCAAAACTAGTCAATTTTCACCATTTTTTGGATTCCAGGAGTTGAGAAAAAAACAGTTATATATATTTCCATGTGTATATTACATGATTTTGCTATATTTAGAGGGTAGTGGTTCTAAGTTTTAGTCCGTCAACACCAAAACTAGTCATTTTTCACATTTTTTGGATTCCAGCAGTTGAGAAAACACATGTCGACACCAAAACTAGTCAATTTTCCCCATTTTTTGGATTCCAGGAGTTGAGAAAGAAACATGTCAACACCAAAGCTAGTCAATTTTCCACATTTTTTGGATTCCAGGAGTTGAGAAAGAAACATGTCAACACCAAAGCTAGTCAATTTTCCACATTTTTTGGATTCCAGGAGTTGAGAAAGAAAAAATGTCAACACCAAAACTAGTCAATTTTCCCCATTTTTTGGATTCCAGGAGTTGAGAAAGAAACATGTCAACACCAAAACTAGTCAATTTTCATCATTTTTTGGATTCCAATTTTCATCATTTTTTGGATTCCAGGAGTTGAGAAAAGAACATGTCAACACCAAAGCTAGTCAATTTTCCCCATTTTTTGGAGTCCAGGAGTTGAGAAAAAACATGTATTTATATATAGATATATAAATATGTCCATATGTATATTACATGATTTTGCTAGATTTGGAGGGTAGTGGTTCTAAGTTTCAGTCCGTCAACACCAAAACTAGTCAATTTTGCCCATTTTTTGGATTCCAGGAGTTGAGGAAAAAACATGTCAACACCAAAGCTAGTCAATTTTCCACATTTTTTCGATTCCAGGAGTTGAGAAAGAAACATGTCAACACCAAAACTAGTCCATTTTCCCTATTTTTTGGATTCCAGGAGTTGAGAAAAAAACGCGTCACACCAAAACTAGTCAATTTTCCCCATTTTTTGGATTCCAGGAGTTGAGAAAGACACATGTCAACACCAAAGCTAGTCAATTTTCCACATTTTTTGGATTCCAGGAGTTGAGAAAGAAACATGTCAACACCAAAACTAGTCAATTTTCACCATTTTTTGGATTCCAGGAGTTGAGAAAGAAACATGTCAACACCAAAACTAATCAATTTTCCTCATTTTTGAGATTCCAGGAGTTGAGAAAAAAACATTTCAACAACAAAATTAGTCAATTTTCACCATTTTTTGGATTCCAGGAGTTGAGAAAGAAACATGTCAACACCAAAACTAGTCAATTTTCCTCATTTTTGAGATTCCAGGAGTTGAGAAAAAAACATGTCAACACCAAAACTAGTCAATTTTCCCAATTTTTTGGATTCCAGGAGTTGAGAAAACACGTGTCAACACCAAAACTAGTCAATTTTCCACATTTTTCGGATTCCAGGAGTTATATATATATATATACCTGGTAACCTTTGTGGGTTCCTATTCAAGTAGCATTTTAGAATATAGGTTGTATTTGTAAATCCTGATTAAATTTACACCTCAACATGCCATTTTACACCTCACCACGGGTCAGCACGGGTTTACATGTCAGCACGGGTTAGCACGCCTTTTCCAGCCCCAGCGCACCTCATCCCTTTCGCTTCAAGTGCATCCAAATTAGCAACACTTGAGTCATATAGCGTTGCAAACTACGTAGTATTCGGGTTCTAGGATTGACACATCTTGTCAATAAACAATATCTTCCAATGAAATCTTCATCTGAAGCACATGATTGTGCCATGGGGTTTTCAACCCAAGGGCAGTTGTCTGCCTGATCTTTCATCCACCGCCAAACGTGCCACAGCATATGCAACTTTGGGTTTATTCCAAATCGTTGCTCCCCCAAACGGTAGCTCAACAGAGCTAGTCTTGAGTAAGCACGGAGAAAGTGCTCACCTGCTGAATTAAGCCCTTTAGCCTGTGCTGAAGCTATCCAAAAGTTGTGCTTGAACAGATTGGACATCCAGTAGTTCAATGCCCTGCTGGCAGATGCCTTGTGATGGTTCCCAATTTAAAAGGAAAAATCCAGAAATTCACATCAAAACCAACATGTACCAGCCAACTATGGGAAACTATGCCACTGAAACCAATCCTAAGCAACAATCAAACGCAAGCGCTCGTCCATGGAATGTTCCAAATCATGAAGCTTTGCAAAAAACTCAATGAATTGGCACACGGTTGTCGTCAGGGCCCCCTTGCTCCAACCCCCAGTCGGCTCTTCAGCACCCCTCCAAGAGAGCGTAGAACGATCTATTTTGTTGATGTAATTGGTCTTCCCATTTTCCTCAAAAGGTGACAAATCAGTTTCATAACCACAACAAGACTAACCCCCCAAACACACCTGCAGCAACACCCCAAGGTAAATCAAAAACGGTAGAATTATTTTTTTTCATTTTGCTAAGATTCTTTGCAATACTCGATGAAAACGCTGGACAATGACTGCAACCTTTTCTCGACCGAACTCCCATTGCAAATTGATTGCAAAATGGATAGGCTTGAGGCTGCAAACTGCTTTCCAATCCCAAGGCTCACCGTATGGATCAAGTCTATCTTGTGAAAGTCCGCTTTTTTGTCCTTGTCATGCATCAACGTTGTAGTGAAAATGGCCTCCTCCTCCCAAGGAACTTCGGTGTGCATGGTGTGGTAGAAAGGAGGGGTCTCAGACCTTGTGTTGTGTTGAACAATTCAAAGGATAAACACCTTCTGTTGAAACATGGGCTAATAAGAAAAGCTTACTGGGAAATAAACAACATTCATTTCTAACTAAAACCAACTGACACATCTTTGTAATCAAGGTGGGGTCTCCCGCTGCAGCAAAGGTGGCAAATTCCCGTGCAGGGTTTCCGGCTAGTTGGTGCTTTGGCCACATTGCGGAAAGATCGCGAGAGATTGGCTGCACTAGCCTAACGTGTTCGTTTCCAGAATTGAAATCAACTCTCACAACAATGGTGATAAAGTGTAAACTTGCTAAAACTAGCTTGGGGCAAACCCAAAAACTCAAAATCAACCAAACCTGTAACAAGTGTCCAAATAGGGCCAGTCCCCTTTGTTGCCAAGAGGAATGAGGTGAAGCCTCCCACCCGAACTCAAAGGTATACCTTTCCGAGAGGCATAGTCCACAGACTTCACAATCAACGCCAACAAGTCATGCATCACCTCCTTGCTGTCACGATAGTCTTCCTCAGATGCAGCAATCATACATGACAGTAATGTCAGGATTTAGAGATGTGCTGGGTAATGTTTGAAAGCTACAGCCCTCACAAAAACAACCAAAACAATTTAAAATTGTTGCTATCAAACTTGAACCAAAACACCCTCAGCAACGCACCAAGTAGGAATCGTGTTTCGAAAGCATGTCCTAGAAAATTCAGATGTGGATCTGCTAGGACTTCTTCATTTGCGATCGGACCCAGTTTGTTGTTAGCAGTGCCACGGCCCAGGGGGCAATGAAAACTTAGGCATAAACATCCATCTTTTTTGTATGTGGTACCCTCGTCACCATGAAGATAAATCGGAAGAGCTGATCTGAGATCTATTTTGTTGGACCGTGCCAACTCAAACACTTCGTGGCCCCCATGCATCAACTGGTAGCGGGACCAAAACTCCTCAAGGGAGCTGCCAGCATCCTTCAAAGTTCGAACGTTTGCACCCAACCCCAAAAGTCGGTCAAGCTTTCCATGGTCATCCAAAGTCTGTATCCAGGAAGCCACTTTGATGTAGGGAAAATTGGGGTCATCACCAACTTTTCCTTTGGAAACCTGAACCCCCAATCGAAGACCGTGCCGAAGGAATGCATCAGAAACCCGATCTTCCTAGAGTGAGTCAGAACTATGGCAAACAGAGCAAACCTTTAAAGGAAAAATGTGGTCAGATAAAAAGACATTTTGTGCTTTCATAGCCCATGTGTGATGAAGAGGTCCCAAAAATAGCTATCCATTGTCAATAAACCCGGAATTTGATATGACCCGTATAGACCCTGGTGAGGTGTAAAATGTTGCAATTAATAACAGTTTTGGTGTCAGATTTGTTGAAGTCAGAGTGATAGAGATCCCAAAGAACGGGACACACCCTGGCCATCTTCGCTGGTCTCTCCAAGGTCTCATGTTGATCACGTAGGTCATAATCAATTGTAGAATTTGCTCTCTGGATGATCTCAGTGCAAGGTGCCTGAGTTAGAATATGACTCCCGAGTTGAGGCGACAGTGTTGGAGTCTTTTCAAATGTTCCAAAGGCATTTGCACATCGATGAGCCGAAAAAACAATACTATCATTTTTTTGGCATCTCAATGCATTTCAAAATTTCAAGGGTCCAAACCAGAGATGAGAAATTTCCAGATGCACACCTTCACACTCAGAAAGAGACAAGGGGCGCCCTTAGCATAGCTCCATGCCATATCGAGAGCTGCTTCTGATGGCCCTGGCATGTGCGAGTATGCATCTGTCCCTTTGCTGAATTTCCATCAAGTTGTGGGTTCTGT